CAAAGCCCTGGGAGGTGTTATTGCCTTGTACTTCCATAAACAACCCTAGAGGTCATCTGGCTCAACATCCTCATTTTACAGATGAAGAAACTGAGGCCCAGGAATGGGACAGGACTTGTCCTGGCTCAAAGAAATAACAAATACTTGAGGTGAGATTTGGGTCTTTTGATTCCAGGTCCACCTTTCTACTCCATAGGGCACTGCCTCCCCATGCCATTTTTGTCCCCCGTTATTTTATATTACCTTTTGACCTCCCCAATAATAAAGTACGTCATAGACCTCTAGGGATTCTGAAAAACCATTGGTGTGAAGACTGCATTTTCTTCTTTGGAGGTTTTCCACTATCTTTCTCTAGAGTTGGAAGAGACTGGCAAATTCAACCAGTCTAGGGAGGTAAAATGCTTTATTTGCCCAACTCACGGAGATGCAACCATAAGCAGAAATAGCATGGGACTCAAATCCAGGTCCCTTGATTCCATATCCATGCTACCCATTATCTCTCTGAGACTCAGGTTCTGCATCTAACTTCCAAAGCACCTTTTCTGAGACAAGGTAAGGTAAGCAAGAAAAGGTAAGTGAACAATTAGAGGGTCAGAGCAATTGATAGAGTCAACTGGGGTGGGGGGAGCAAGTTAATGAAACAAATTGGAGAATAGCACTGGACCGAAGGGAAGGTGGCGGTGACTGTGGGCATGATGAGATAGGAAAAGGGATTTGAGGAAGGCTGTCAAGTTATTAAGAAATGATAATTGACTACAAAAAGTATCCATCAGGTTTGAGATGTAAACTTGAAGAAACAAGGCTGAAAATCTCTATGTTATGGAGAGAAATTGGGCAGTCACTTGCCTGGAGTATGCAGGGTTTCTCCCTCCTGGAGGAAAAGGTGAAAGAGTGCCTCTCCAAACTCCAGGTTGTTAGGAAGAATGGAAGATTCCTTAAGAAAACAGAAGCAAGATTTCAGTGGAGGAAAAGGAGAGGATCTGAGGTAAAGGAGAGAGATGTGACCTTTATCAGGATGATAGAGGTGACAAGTGAGCTCCATAGAGGAGAAGCAGAAGGAAAAGGATGCTTGTGGAAGATAAATTCATAAACCAGGTTTGAGAACTTCAAGAGAAGAGAGAGGGATGTTCTAAGGAAAAAGATTCTTCTTGTCCTCCCAAGAACGATATGGTAATTGTGAAGAAGATTTCAGGAGTGAGATCCCCTCATAAAGGGGCAGAGGAAAAGGAGAAGAGGAGGAGGCAGATGCACTGTCCGGGGTCCTGAGGCAGCTCTTTGTAAATGTGATGCCAATTGAGGAGTCTCTTGTCTTCCTAGACCATGAATCCAAGACAGATCAGGGAACAGACTTATCCAAGTGGATTTCAACTGCCCATTTCTGGTGATTCACATGGACACAAATAACACTTTCAGAAAGAACTTCAAAAATGGTCAATTAGTATGAAGTCTTGGGCCAGAAACTGAAGAGCACAGTGGCCCAGATTGTGTCTTCTTCACTTTGCCTATTGAAGAAAATAGACACAGAAGAGAAAAATGAACTTGGGGAGGGAGCAACTGGCTAAGAAGGGAGACTCTGAAAATGGGATGTGGATTTCTGCATCACAGCTTACAAAACAGGATTGACAGATTCCTGGCCAGAGACGGAGTACACCAACAGAAGGGATCTGCCAGACATCCTGCAAATCTAATTAAAAGGACTGGGAACTAATAAGGATCGGAAGGGACTTCCTTATTGGGGTGGACGGAAGGGAAAGAACTGTCTGGAAAGAAGATGCAGAGCTTTATTCAGGGGGACCAAGACAGAAGTTCCTGGAGCTTCCGTATGTTGAAGAAAAACAAGAGGTTCTGTGTGGGTCAGTGGAGTGAGGTCTGAATGGGAGCTCAGCAGCAGGTTGGTGGTGAGCACTGCACTTAAGAAGATACAGGTTTGGATCTTGCCTCAGACACTGACTGGATGTGTGACCTTGGGCAAATCACACCCCACTTTCCCCGACCCCCCGCCCCACCACCGCCCAGACTCATTTCCCTTATCTGTAAAATGAGGGGAGTAGACTCAATGCCCTTGAAGGTCCCTTTCAGCTTCACATCAGTGATCCCGTGAGGTAGGAGATTGGAGCTCATAGACTATCTTGGAGATGAGCTATGGGTGTGCTCGTTGGGGAGTTACCTACTCCTCAGCCCCAGTTTGTTCATTTGTAAAATGGATACAATGATTACCACCTCAAGGGAGTGCTGTAAGGAGAGCACTTTGGAAACCCTAAAGATCTACAAAAGCAAGGGGTCCCCAAAATAAGAAGGAGGCAAAGGCAAAGTTTTCGTCCTCAGCTCCACGCCTAGAGTGGTTCCTCCCTTCCTCTTCTCTATGAAGTTCTAACTTTTGGCCACCACATGGTTTACCTATTTTGTGGCAGGGATGCTCTCTGGCTGCACATTAGCCAGTCCTTGCACCTGAGAATGCAGCAAGAGGGCCATACCTGGCACAAACCTGAAGTGCTTATGAATATACATAGACTGCCTGGCAAGGAGACTTTTTGTTAATGGGGATCAGATCACCTGTTGACGCATGTTCCAGGAACACACACACACACACACACACACCCCAGCAGCAGGCACATTGGCCTGAGAAACCTCATCATTTCCAATCTCACAAAGTTGTGTTACCCTGGCTGGGAGCTTGGCAAAGATCGCAAAGTCAGCAGTAAGTCACGGTTCTTTCTTATCCACCCCTTCCTGCACTAATAGCTTTCCTCACCTTTCCATTTGCTTGATTGTCAGGAAACTACAGAGAGAACTTATTCTATTTAACACTTCCCTGGAGCCTGAGAGTCTCTTTGTTTGCCCCAATTCGGAGAGGGGTCAGGTTGCCTCTGAGCTGCCTATATAAACCTGAGGTGGGCATGTCTGTTGAGCTCATCTTGTGTTTGCACCAGCCAACAATGTGATAGCTACTCTGAAATTTCAGTTCCTCAGATATTGCAGCCCTTTATTTCAAAACTAACTTTAGCAGATGGCTCTTTCTTCAGGGTTTTTTAGAAAACCTCAAGTAACAAATAAAAGTCCAAACAATTCTGTTTCTGTTTCTGCTCTATCAATTGAGGCCAGATTTTAAACTGGTTCATCTGTCCATCCATCCATCCATCCATCTATTCATCCATTTACTCATTCATTCAACAAACATCTATCAAAGTCCTGTGAGGGGCCAGCCCTGGTGACTGACACTGCTCCTCATTGCTGTTGGGGAGACTGTAGATCAGGACCCCTATCATAACCAAGCCCCAGGTTTTCAGGCTTGGTTGATGAGAGTTGCTGCTGGAAGCTTTTTCTTCTGCTACACCTCTATGAGAAAACCCCAGCTGATTTTCTGTTCTCGTTGGGAATGTCCACAAACAAGAAGAGCCTCTGCTGTCCCCAAAGCAGAGACTGGGTGGGGGGCGGGGCCTTCAAGAGAAGCCGTCTATGAAAAGGGGTGGGTCGTTTTGTCTCTCTGTCAGTCCCTGCAGTAGAAAGAGATTGTAGGAAGCTCTCCCATTGTAGGACCTTGTCCGGACTACTGATCCTAGCCCAAGACAGTGTCCTGGCCCTTTGGGAAGTAAGCCATTTGTCTTTGGCTCTTGAAAATCCCTGGGGGAGGCATATGTAAACACATGTTCACCCACGGAGGGGGGAAAGTGCTGATCCCACCGGGGATGCACAGTGGGATGGCACTGAGACCATTATTCATGGAGGATCCTGCTGAAACAGTCAATTTAGAAACAATGAAATTCAAAATCAAACTTTCCCTGAATATGATTACTATATGTCTTCTAAAGGCTTAGGACTTGGTGAGGGCAAAGCTGGAGGTTCCCTCCCCTAAATCCCCTCCCTACCCAAAGCTCTCACACTTCCATATGGAGTCATTATTTTTAATGCCACAAAGTTGGAAGTAGCTTTCAGTCCTCAGCTTTTGTTTGTTGCCTTCATAAACAACTTGTTTTCTATTTGCTCATCTGTGAAATGGGCATAACGTGCTCTTGCTGAAGATGCGAGGAGGTTAATTGGCAAAACAGAGAGTGCTACAGAAATTGGAGTGGTCGCTATTACTCAAAACCACAATATTTTTATAGTAATGGGGGTGTGGTTTACTGAGATCATGTTGGGATCTGGTTTCCTGGGATGTTTTTATGGTAGATAACTGCTAGGGAGGAACCTCCCTCCACCAGTGTAGACTGGCACCTGCTCAGTTACATCAAGTCTTAGAGTGGCCTGAGCCCTGGGGGGTGGGGTTTAGGCAGCTTGCCCAGGCTCACCCAGCTGGTACATGTCAGAGGCTACCCTTGAACCCAGTGCTCTTTACTCAGAGGTCTGCTCTGACTGCGCTAAACCATGCTGCCTCCCTTGCAAATCATGCCATATTTATACTTAAATGAGTTTCCAGGCTTTGAGCACAGACCAGATGATGGTGAGGCAGAAGGGGTCCCCGAAGCCTGTGAAGGGGAGAGGCATCAGAAAGGCAATCGAGGGTTCCAACTCGGCCACCTCTAATCCACCAAGGACCATTGGCAAAATGCTTATATTCTATTGATCTTATATTAAAACACCTTGACATTGAATGATCTGAAAAAGAAAATGGCACCAGTTGAATGAATGGAGCCAAGGTAGATCTGGGAAAGGTTTGCTTCAGGTCGCTGCTCTGAGGATTTGTGTAATGAGACTCTAACAGGGGACGGTGGTCACACTCACAGGAATAATTGGAGACTGGGTCAAGAAAGGAAAACAGGCCAAAGCTGAAACACTTCCTTGCTCCAAGTTGGGGGCCAAAGAAGTCGGCTCTGACACCCCCAAGTCTGCCCAGAGAGCCAGGCTGCCTTCATGACAAGGTGTCAGATGCCCACATAGAACTGGAATACGGTTGCCTTGGGTACCACTCAGGAGGCTGCTCCAGGGCTCTCCTTCCTGTTTCTATGGTAACTGCAGACCTGTATCATGCATGGGTGTGTGACTGTGTTTTGTTCTCCTTGTAGATGGAGGAGATAAAGTTTAAAGACAGAGCAGTCTTCGTGCTGGAGAGAGAGTTAGGGGTCCAAGCCGGGCATGCTCAGAGACTTCAACTCCAAAAAGAGGCTTTAGATGAACAGCTATCTCAGGTCAAAGAGGCCGATCGGCATCTGGGCAGCCCCAAACGAGAGCTTCCTTATGGCAGTGGTGCAGGAGACGCCTCAGACCACTCAGGAAGCCCTGTAAGCACTTCCCCGTGGCCCTGACCCAAGGCTGGAGCCAAGAGCCTGGAACCTTGAGGAGCCACAGGACAGCCGCCCACTGGGGCTCGCGCCTGCTTCCAGGAGGGCTCTGACTCCTTGGGGTTTGGTTTGGTTCATTTTGGTGGAGAGAGGGATTTCTTTTGCTTTTGCTTTCTGACTATTTATGCATCTGAAACGATGGCCTTCACTTGGCAAACTGCTCACTGACGATGACAAATTAGGTTTTCTAACTGTTGGTCCGGCAGGATGCTAACGGTGGTTGCTGGTTTTCAGAATTCTTTTCTCTGCATTCCTTGCAGCCCACAGAGAGCTCAGCCTCATTTGAACATCTCACCAACCTCACCCACTCCATACTGCTCTAGGGACTTTTGCCTTCCCCAGCGAGGGAGGGGATGGACACACTGCCCACTCACCTTTGCTTCTCTTTGGTTTGTTTTCATGCAGGCCTCTCTGGTCCTAAGTCCCTCCCAGTTACTCTGCCCAATGCCCAGTTAAGTGATGCTGTCACCTCTCTGCTTCTGCCTTGATTTGCTAGTGAGTGGGAGGATTGCCAGGCAGCTGACCTCACCTGGCTGGACCCCAGCTTAGCCCTGTCTTCATTGCTGATCATCAGTGAGATTTCCCTGGTTAGCATTCTGGGGAGCAGCAGCTTCAATCTGAGGATCCAGAAATGCCCAAGTGGTTAAATTCCTTGTTCCCAGCCTCTCCTGCACCTGTTGACTGAGGAAGTCCATCTCACTGTCCAGTAGCCTCAGGGACATTGATTGACATTGGACCAAAAGATGGCAACAACATGGCAGTCATCAACCTAATTAGACCTTGCCCTGGCTTGGAGGACAAAAACACAATTTCTCCCCCCTGGTGCCAGTTAGACCACAGTGAAAGTTAAAACACTGGAATCAGGTTAGAGAGAGTTCTGGAGGAGCCCCAAGAGTTGTTTTCGTGGGCCCCTTAGGACAGAAGTTCTTACCTCTTTTTTGGTGTCCTGGACCCCTTTGACTATCTCTTGTGATACTTATGAGCACTTCCTCAGAATAATGTTTTTAAATGCCTAAAACAAAATACATGGGGTTGCAAAGGAAACCAATCATATTAAAATATAGTTCTCAAAATATTTTTAAAAATAAGTTTATGGCACCCAGGTGAAGAAGCCTTGGTTTAGTATCGCCTCCCCTGCTGGCAGCACATACACCTTTGAGGAAACAATTTGTGTGTCAGGATCTTCAATAAAAGGCCAACTTAGCTAAATAGGAACCCAGAGTTTCCCCCTGGGCCAGGAAGTGCAGTGAGGCCTCCCCAGATGGAGAACACTCAGTCCAACAGTGGCAAACATGGCAAACATTGGATGAACATTCAATGTTTTCATTCATGTGTCTGACTTCTGTGACATCAGTACATGCACCTACCCACCTCTGGCATCTGCCTTCTTCCCTACATCTCTGCTTTCCCTCCATTTCCATTATCATCTTGCAACCTGCAATGATATAGCAACCTCGGTTGCATCCTTCTGGGACCATAGTCATAAGTTACTGGGACTCAGATCAGAGCATGGAAAAGAAATAGGATGGTTTCCTTGGAGTGGTCTGGGGTGTGGGGAACTTGGAGGAACCCGGGCCAATGGCCAGTTATTTGCAGTTGATTCTTGTTTCAGGAACAGCAGTTGGATGAGAAAGATGCCCGGCGCTTCCAACTTAAAATTGCTGAGTTAAGTGCAATCATTCGGAAGCTGGAGGACCGCAATGCTCTGCTTTCCGAAGAGAGAAATGAACTGGTAAGTTGAGAGTGGCCTTTGGCTTAGCACTAGGCCTGGGGGAACATGAAGACTTGCTTTCATCCGATGTCTTTATGGAATGTTTGAGCACACACACACACACACACACACACACACACACAGATTTTCACAATTTCTCTCTACTGATTTTACTCATGGCTAGATATACTTGGATCTGAAGGGTTTCCTAGGGAACAGAGACCAGACTTAATGTGCCTGCTCCCAGTGGGTAAAACTCGGAGCTATGAGTAGAAGTGTCAGGGAGGAAAGTTTGGGCTTGATGTCATGAAAAACAACCTAATAAGGAGAGCTAAGGCAAAGGAAGATGGATTGCCTCAACACTTCCCCTCACTGGGAGTCTTCAAGCAGGCTGAATAGCCAGTTGTCTAACATGGTGTCATGGGGAATCTTTTTCACTTCTGGTTTGGATGAGGTGGACATTGAGATCCTTTCCAACTATGAAACCCTGTAATTCAATGATGAGGCCAGGAATCTCTAACTTCTTGGTGAAAGAACTACTTTCCTTCCAGACCCTGAAAACTACTTGGGTTGGGGAAGGAGAGGAAACAGGAGGAGAATAGGAAGAGTTGGGAGGGGAAACAAAATCCCTAAAGATGAGCAACTCTTTTCTGGAAATCCTGGGAAAGTTTAGATACAGGAGTGTGGTTAGTGTAGTAGCAACAACCAGTTTGGAGGCCTACTAGATAAATCTCTAAGATTCTTCCAGTCTGTCCTGATCGATTGTTTGGACATGCTTCCATTAGACACGGAGTTTTGCCACATGAGGTGATGTGCTACTCACTGAGAATTTTTTCTGAATGGTCCAGCCATATATCTTCTACTTGGCAATGGAGAAAGGCCCAGACCTGGTTCTTCCCTTTGCATACCTTTATCTCATACACTGACACCAGATCTACCATGGCTGAATGTCTGTCCATTGTTCTTAGCTGAGATGATGCAGTCAGTTATAGAGTAAACTCAAATGAATGGCCAGCTGCCTTTGATGGTCTGGGCCATCCGTGGCTACAATGTCAGTGGTCCTTTATGACTTTCTTGGAGGCAGAAGTGAGTGGGATGTGATCTGAAATGTCCATGTCATAGTTGATCCTGAATAGTCCAGAGTTGGTTTTGTTCATGGGTTTCCCGACAGCATCTTCACTATCCTAGAAGCACTGGCAGTGACCCTTCAAGATAGTCATTGCTGAACTTGATGAGTGCTTTGGCAGAACTCAAAGTCTGAGATTGACCTTATTAAGCAATTCATCACCAAAGGCTACCACACAATAAAAAGTTAGAGAATATTCCATTCTTCTGGCAAGCATAGGGATCTAACTGTTCTGAAAAAAAAATGGAATTATGCTAATAATCCCTGAGCTATACACATCCTGGGAACTAGTGATCTCATTATAGGGTGCTTGGCTCAAGGTGTACAGACAAAAGGAAGAGTCCCATCTATAGAAGCCTGTCTATGACAGCACTTTTTTTGTGGTGGCCAAAACCTTGAAGCCAAGCACAGGTGCTCATTGATTGGATAATGGCTGGACAAAATGAGGTGTGTGAATGTAATGGGATGTGTAAGGAATTCAGAGAAACTCATGCAGCCTTGCATGAATTGATGCAAGAGAGAAGCAAGCAGAACCCAAAGAACAATATATGAAGCAACTGCAAAAAAATAAACAAGAAAGCAAGACGGCAGACTATGGTTCAATGCAGTGATTTGTCATGAACTCAGAGGGATGGCAGCAAAGCATTCCTCCCCTTGTCAGAAAAGCCTGGTGGACCATGAATGCAGAATGAAACACACTCTGTTAGACCTAGGCAGTAGATTGGGTAAGCGCACCCCTTTGATACAAGGTCATATTGTCAGATGACAACAGTGTTTGTAAAACGCATCAACAAAGCATTTATTTTCTTAACAGCATAGAAAGAGGCTCATTTTCAGCCTGTATGGGTTCCAGACCACATTTAGAATCCCAAGCAGAAGTCCCACTGAGATGGTCAGGGATGGCAATTGTCTATTGTTCTGTGGGTCTGATGAATCCACATTGTATATAGTCCACCACTTGTGCCATCAATCTGGGAAGACTGAACTTCCAGCTCCTGGCATCATCAGAGTCAACTGCCTCTGAAATAGCCAAGATGATATGGCCAGGAGGTCATGGTTCTGATCTCAGAATGAGATCAGAATGCCTGGCCTTCTCCCTAGTCTAGATTGGATCATGAGCTTCTCAAAATGGCCTACTGCCTGAAGCTGAGGCAAGTTCTCCTTATGAAGCATCTGCTTTTAAAGACCCCCACTGAGGGAGCACTTACTATATGTTCACCAAGCTCCAAGTATGTGAGCTAGCATCTAATGTTTCATTAATGTAATGCGGTGTCTCATCCTGGATGAGATGGATGATGCCAGCTTTTAAAGGTGGCTAACCTCCAATGTGGCTTAAGGAGATGATGGGAGAGCAGCCTTAAGAAAACCAGAAATTTCGAGCATATTGAGGGTGGAGGGAAAATCAATATGGAGAGAATAGATGGTGAGAGGAGGACATTGTGGGAGGGACTCATCATGAGCCCCACAGAGAACAGCACAAAGTAGATGAGACCAAGGTAAGTCCCATTAATAGTCACGTGCTTTCTGACTTCGGGGCCTTTGGATTCTTCTCACTATTACTTCACAATCATCCAGCTGGGGCAACTTGGTGGTGCAGTCAGGAGGACCTGAGTTCAAATCTGGCCTCAGACACTTACTAGCAGTGTGACTCTGGGCAAGTCACTTAACCTCTAATTTTCTCCATTTCCTCATCTGTAAAATGGGATAATAATGGCACCTGGCTCCGAGGGCTGTTGTGAGGATCAAATGAGCTAATAATTGTGAAGTGCTTGGTGTGTAGTAGGCACTATAGAAATATAAATATTATTATTATCCATTATTATAATCCATATTATTACTATGCATATTATTACCCATTAGTTATTATTATTACTATCCACCTACCAAAATAGAAAATATCACTGCTGTTTTTGACAATGATGTGGAGGGTAGGACTTGCTGCCAGTTCTCTCCTCAACTGCTCTCATTGATCCAGTGGGAGGTCCAGGGGACATGTGCTCTGTGTTTGAACCATGCAAAGCAGGGAAGCATAACTGCAGGGCACAAAGGACAGGGCTGTTGCCTTTCAGAAGAAGTTGACTGAGGTCTTATTGCTGAACAGGTGTGGTGGACTGACAAAAGCCCTGGGTTCTAATCTTATCCTTTCTTCTTTGTCACCTGGCACAAGTACTTTACTCTTTGTAGCCTCAATTTCCCCATCTGAAAATGAAGCTGATGGACTATGAAGTGTTAAGTCCCTTCTAGCTCTGGGTCTGTAACCTTTGTATTAAGCAACTCATCAAAGATCTTCCCCTTTTGACTCAGATCCAGCCGAGACCATTGGGATAAAAATAAGGTGTCCTTCAGCAAAATCAAGTCTGATCTCAGCAAAGGTGACTAAATCGTCAGGATACTCAATGGAGAAGAAGGGTTGGGCTGGATTGTATTCCCCAGCTGCTGGCCAGGAGGCAGCCAGGTCCGAGTACAACTACCCAGGGCCCAAAGCTTAGCCTCAGACTAAAGTGTGAGGCATTGTCAGGGTGAACCCTGGCCTAAGTGAGAGCGCTGACCTTCTTCTCTATGACTATGTCCAGCCAGAGGCTGGACTGTAGCTTGAGGAAAGAAGGATGAGGTCAGTTTGGGTCTGAGTATGTCTAACACACTCAATGCAAAACAGAGAGCCTAGAAAGTGAGCTGGAAGTCCTGAGCCAAGAAACTCTTTCCCCTGAAGTGTCCAAGTAATCCTGGCACAAATGGGCTGTTTGCTAAGAGTATCCTCAGTTCTCCACTTCTGGTAGGATGTGCCCAGATGCCACTGTTGAGCATTACTGATTAGACTGTGTGTGTGCAGTGGCTTCCGTGCTTTCTTAGCCTTGACGTCATTGAGGAGTGGAAGGGACAGCTCTGTTTTGAGTGGGCTGGCTTCTTGTGCCTGGTGACCTTTCACTGTGTTATGCCCTGGAAGTAATAGGATTCTGACTACTAGTAGCACAAGAGGGAATAGCAACACGCTGCCCTTGCGCTTTGTTGGCTGCCCCAAGTTTCGCTGAATTCCTTACCCAAAGTAATTGCATTCAATTCAACCTTTGGGGAGGGAGTCACAGGGGGAGGGGAGCTCTATGTGATCCCAACACCTTCAGAGCTGAGTCTTTTACTTTCCATTGGGTTACCCAAGCATTGTGTAGATCCAACCAAAGTTCGCTTAAAGTAAATTCTCTGGATATTTAATGAACGTTACTGATCCCTCTCTGTCTTCCTTCTTTTTCATTATGTGGGACCATTTTTCTATTTCAGCTGAAGCGCCTAAGGGAAGCAGAAAGTCAGTATAGACCCTTGCTAGACAAAAACAAACGCTTGAGTCGGAAAAATGAAGATTTGTCCCATGCTTTGCGAAGAATGGAAAACAAACTGAAGTTTGTAACACAAGAGAACCTAGAAATGGTAAGATGGCCTCGTTAGCTTCCCACCTCCACTGAGGCCATGGGGGATGATCAGGGCTTGTGATCAGGGTCCCAAATAAGCACCAGGATTTCAATTCACTTAGTCACCATTGTACCCTCTTCTCTTCTAAGGAGCATTAGCCCTCACTAACTCTCTCAAGGTCATAACTTGGTCCCAAGAATGTTCCCTTGAACATTCCTTTTTGTTAATGACTATTAGCCCCATTTCTGTGCTTTGTTTTGGGGAGGTTATTATTGTACCCTTATAGATGATTCTAACTCTGGGTTCAGCCTGCTTGGGGTAAGGTTTATTGCAACTCTCAGGGGCAAGGCTCTGAGCCAAGGGCTTCCGGAAATACCAAGCATGAGCCATGATTTCTGTCCTTCAGGAATGCAGATTTAATTGAGAGAGATGGCTTGCAAATGTGAAAATAACTAATAATTGTAAAGGCAAGGCCTGGTGAAAACATGTCATAGGGAGGTGGTCAGGAGTTCATGCAGAGTGGACTGCATCGGAGAGAAGACCCGAGAAGCCAGCAAACAGCCCAGCAGAGAATGAAGACAGCACCAGAGGAGAAGCAGAAGACATGAAGATGAAAGGATGGATGGGGGAGACATTGGGAAGGCAGATTGAAGGGATTTGTGGACAAGCCTTGAAGAAAGGGATGGAAGGGTGTGACAAACTCCTTTTGGGAGTGGCTTCTGACTTTCCCTTGGATGTGAATCTGTCTTGCATATTTTTTTCCATCGCCCATCTTTGGATTTAAACCTGGTATCATGTTGTATTAAGCACTTTTGTAAATAAAACCGGAGCCTTCTAGTTGGCAATGGGGAGTACTGACAACATATGACCCTGTGTTGGCCCCCACCCCCATCTAGTCTGTTTGGTAAATCTCAGCAGCATAGAGCCTTTCCTTACTGAGGGAGAAACAACCACACACATGATAGCATCATGTGTAGCCTGGAGATGCAGCCAGAGCCAATGGAGGTCTCACCCCCGCCCAAGCCTCCCCCTATGGGCTTCTGGGCCCCCACTATTGGCAGAACTTTCTTTATTTGATACCATTGGCAGTAGAAGCTGAGCAAGATTCAATAAGCTCAAGGACTTCAGATAAGGCTCAGGGAGGGCAGGTTTGTCAGGCTCATAGGATTCTCCAAATTTCCTTTGCTTCGCTTCCTTCCCTAGAGACAGCGAGCTGGATCAATCAGAAGGCCAAGCTCCTTAAATGACCTTGACCAGAGTCAGGACGAAAGAGAAGTGGACTTCTTGAGGATGCAAATGGTGGAGCAGCAGAACCTGATAGATGAGCTGTCCAAGGTAAACTGAGGCCATCCTTTTAGGTCTGACTTAGGGTGCCATTTTTTTGCATAGTGTGAGTAACAAGCTTGCCTGTGGGGCCATCCAAATGGAAGTCAGCCCAAGAGCCACTGGCAAGAGGATCCTAGCTTCTGCCCCATATCCTGGGGAGGTAGGTTTTTTTGTGGTTTTTTTTTTGGCATCCTTTCTTAGCCATACTCCAGGCATAAAGAGGAAGAGGAAGGCTTATTTTATGGCTAGAGGAGGAGAAGGGAGGCATCCTAGTGGATCAGAAAAGATGCTTACAAAGAAGGATTCCTGCTCATTTCATCAAGAGGCTGCCCTAAGTCATGTCTCATTAACCAAATGGTGAGGATTTCCCAGTTCCACATGAACTTCCAGGTGGCACCTGAAGGTGCTTCCTTGGGCAGCTAAATGGCACTGTATAGAGTGCCGGGCCCGGATCAGGAAGACTTGAGTTCAAATCCAACCTCAGACACTTACTAGCTGTGTGACCCTGGACAAGTCACTGCTCTTTGCGTCAGTTTCCTCATCTGTAAAATGGGGATAAAAATAGCACCTACCTCCCTGAATTGTTGTTAGATCAAATGAGATAATAATTGTAAAGTGCTTAGCATGGTTCCTGATCCAGAGTAAGCAGTATCTTCAGGTTAGCTTCACTATTATCTCACAAAGGTGCAAGCTGGCTTTTATAGGCATTAGGTAAAGGGGAGGAAGAGGCTCCCCAGGGCAGGGCCTGGGCTATGACATCACACTGTATCCAAAGTGTTAGGATCATGGCCCTCAGAAGCCCCAGTACAGCCTGCCTTGCTTATGAGTCAGCTAATCGTGCCCTCTCCGGAAAGAGCAAGATTGTCTTAGGAAGCCAATAACTCCTCAATTGTGTTTTCTATCCTAGACCCTCGAGACAGCAGGATATGTGAAGAGTGTTTTGGTGAGTACCAGCCCTTCATTCCCTTCACTCCCTCCATGGAGACTGTGCTAGTACAATTTGTTTATCTGCATATTTCATCTAAGGTTATATTTAGCAATCATGATTTTTGTTTACACGACAACCTTCCCAAGTATTTGTCTTTTGGAATTCAGTGATATGGGATTACTTGATGACATTCATGGCTGATTAAAATGGGAACTTAAATATGCTGCCATGCACTACAGCGCTGTGCTGACAGGGAGCGTCCAGTTAAGTTTATGGTCCACGGACATAGCTGCCCTCAACTCTGCATGAAGGAAATGACCTCATGCCACAAGAGTCTGTTGCCCTGGCTTCCTCATCCTAAATGTTCTGACATCTCTATCCTGGTGTTCTGGGCCCACCTCCCACACCCTCCCAGAGAGCAGCAGCTCCATATTCTGTGGTCGCCAGTCAGATTTCTCACTCCCTTAATGGGGACTCAGACTTCCTTGGCAGAGCCCCAGTCACAGAGAGCCTAGGAAGTCTCCTGTAAATGTATGCAAACCTCTTAGCAGAGTCAGGAGAGGCCTGGTGCTGGAGAGCCCAGACACATCCCTCCAGCTCTGTGCTCTGGGGCTGGGCCCTTCCCAGGGCTCACTCTTGTTCTTTCCTACCTGCCCCAGCAGCCCTTGAGGCCATAGCAATGAAGTGGGGGATAAGTTTGTAAATCCCCACCATCCCCCAGGATGAGGAGGCCGTGTTAATGAAGAGTCCCTATTTTCACAAGAAAGGCTCCTGAATTCTGGAGCACCATGTTCCGCTGGGCCATGGTCATCCAAAGACCTGCATAGAAAGTTTAAGCTGTCCATATGAGACAAGCCAGGCAGTGTGGAATAGTGCATAGAGAGCTCCAAGCTGGGAGGCTCTGGGCTCTAGTCTGGCCTCTGGCACATCCTAGGGGATGAACCTAGGCAGGCTCCTTAGGTCCCCCTCCCCCATCCTCCCTACCCCTCACCCCCAGCTACACTCAGCCCTCTAAGGGTGGGGTGCTGGGGTCCATGGGTTGAGAGGCTGTGACCAGGAACTCCTTGCACTGATGAAATTATACGTCTGGGGAAAATAAATTTTTTTTAAACAAATGGAATTGTCTAAAGTGTAAAAAATCTAATTGGTTGATTTTTGCAGGAACGTGATAAACTTTTAAGATTCAGGAAGCAGAGAAAGAAAATGGCCAAGCTCCCTAAGGTAAAAGACATACAATGTTGAAATCTGAGCACATGCAGATACATTCACAGATGCTAGAAGCCCCTTCTGAGGCTTAGAGGAATCACTTAGGTGTCTAAAACACGAGAGGACCAGAGGAGCTGAGAAGGGAGGGAAGGTCCCACAGTCCTGGGGCTCCCCTTTGTCTGGTTCTTAGGAAAGGAGCCCATTTCCCATGAACCTCTGTGAGCCAAGGAGGCAGAAGAAATATGTCTTAGTGAAGACTGAGCAAGCCTTCCAGCTGGGCATGAGGTTGACCCACCTCTGGCCCTTTGCCCATCAGACAGAGGACCTCTCAATGAGCCAGTTTGAACTGGGTCCTGTCTCTTAGGGAGAGGTGCTCTGACTCCTCCTTGGGGAGAAGCAGGGCCCCAGCACTGACTTCCCCAGGAGCTTCAGGAGTGATGCCCCTGGCTTGGTATAAATCAAAAATGGTAGAAAACAACATTGGGCTCTTTCCTGCCTTGCCTGGACCCCTCTGTAATCCTCCCTTAGTCACATTCCAAAGCCTCCAAAGTAGAAAGTCCTGGTGGGATAGATTTGACTTCTTTCATTTATTTTTGAGAAATTCAGAGATGCCAGTGAGGAGGCATGTAAGGAGGACAGTGGGCCCAGGAGTATTCGAACATGTGTGAGGGGGCACGCAGGCAACCAGCATTGATTAAATGCTTACTGGGTGGCAGGCACAGTGCTAAGCACTGGGGAGCCAATGCAGTTTTAAAAAGGCAGTCTCTGTTCACAAGGGGCTTACACTCTGATGGGGAGGGCAACATAGAAGGGAGCTGGGGAGCTGGAGGCATGGGGGCAAAATCCAGAGTCAGAAGCACATCTGGGAAGAGACTGACCCAGGTCCGCTTGTTTTCCAAACTCCTCCCTTAAAATCAGTCCACTAAGCCAACGGTGGGGGAATCTCATTGGTTCTCATCTCAATGGTAATGGAAGTTCTTATTGGTGAAGGAATGGAAAGTGCTGAGAGGAGGCATGAATAAGCACACAGTGGGACCATATGGCCAAGGGGTCTTCTGCTAGGACTGAACAAGATTCATGTAAAACTCCCCAGTTTGTGGGATGCCCTGAGAGCTCAGATGAGCTGCCCACATTGACATCAACCTGACATGGAAGTCCAGATCTGGAAAAGGGACGACAGCATGGTGGCAGGACATAAGCCAATGCAGCACTCTGAACCAAGGCAAAGAATGATCAGGATGCACACGTGCATACCTCCACATACACATACACCAACACACATGTGCATACATGCACATGTGCACATATACACATGCACATACAGACACACATCACAACTTGAGATCCCTTTTTATGTTCAAAACTCTTCCTGATTCACTTTTGACTTTTTCTTCCCTTCCTCTATGGTCTGCTCAGGCCCCTTCCAGTGAGGGACAGGCTTGTTCAGCTCAGAATGGCTCAATATGAATCTCCCTCTGCCTTTGGATTCTCCATCTTGTAGCTTAGAGGGACCTAGTGCTTCCATCTCTGGGCATGGGAGTGCCTGGGGAAGGCTTGGGGCCAGCCAACACCGATCCAGATCTTCCTGAACTGGGCAGGAGGCTGATTATCTCCACAGAGAAGCCACAGGCAGTGATGATGGCAATCAGAAGTGGTGTGGACTTCCCTAGGACCTCTCAGCAGCAGCAGAAATGCCAGTGTCCCTGGTGAAATTCTGTGGGGGCCTCACCTCAAATGCATGGCCCTCCCCTCAAAAACCTGAGGAAGTGCCCTCCTGCAGAGGCCTGCAGAGGTGACCTTCCCACCCCCACTTTCAGGATATGAATCAGAAGAGCCAAGACTGGTTCAGGATCTTAACTGGAATCCCAGGGAAAGGGGTGAAGTCCACAAGAAGCAAGCTCATCCTTCTGAAAAATGTCCTGGTTTTCTCAGCACTGCTAGAGAGCATGCCTGGCCTCTCACTCTGTCTGCCCTTCTTTTCTCTTTCTTTCACGAGAGATGGGTGGTCAGTCTCCCTGGGATAGGGAAACTGAAAGGAGCAGTGGCTTGTCTTTGGAGAGTCTGCTAGGGTTTTGGTGGTCTCCCCAGTGGCATCTGACCAGATTCCTGGTGATGAGTCTTGTAATGTCTGGAATTTCCCTGGATGGGGAACCCTGTACCTCCCCCATAATCATGGGGTGCTCTTTTGACACCAAAGGAAGAAGCCAAGTATCTCCAGATTAGCTCTAGGTAGTAGTTTAATCAATCATCATGAATACTTACAAAACGGATAATCTTCAATCTGGAGCGGCTACCAGTTTGGTGAATCCCTGCAAAGAACCCCTGAAATCCCCTTGGTAATTATAGAAAATAGACAAAGGGAGTAGGAGCTAGAGAGTGCATCACTACTGATTGGTGGATATTTTTGGTTTTCTGCTTAGTAATGAGCTTGGGCATTAAGCCAATGTTATGCCCAAACATAAGTTTATGTATTGATCGTGTACCAGCCACATATGGGTCACAATATTCTTGTTTTGGCTTTCAAAGATCATAGTATCTTAAGTTATGACTCAGTGTCTAAACTATGATTCAGTATCTAAGTTATGATTTTTAGCCATGTTCTGACTTCTACCTTTCATAAGAGTTTAAGTTTCTATGACTTTTCACATATTATATTATATCATATTAATTATATTATATTATATTATATTATATTATATTATATTTATTATATTATTTTATGGCCTTTCCCCAATCAGGACCCCACTATCCACCCCTAAAAAGCTGCCCATACATTCTTTCCTGATATCTTCAACAATGTCTCTGGGGCATCTCTATACTAGGGTGTTTAGAGCTTTTTTGGGTCCAGCCCAGATGATCTCATTTGTAAGCATAAACCACATAAACAATACAAGCACAAATAGGAAAACATGACCAAAAAAAAATTACCACAATTATTACAATTTTCTTCCATCTCACCCCTGGGGAGGTGAAGGAAGAACCAATGACATTTGGGGATCAATGAGTGAGCTCAATTTCTGAACTTAACCTAGTACAGGCCAGCTGAGTTTCTGAACTAGGTTCAGAGACATGGTTTGGGAAGTTTTACAACATATTGGGGGTGAGAGAGAATAGAAACATTCACAAAATGGGAAGAGAACAATTTGGTTTTCTCAATCTCCCCCCTTTTTGTCAATGGGAGGCTTATCATAATTTTGCCTGACAAGTTAATGTAGAAACAATAAGCTTGACCAATCACAGCACAAGCCATAGAAAGAATATTTAAAACCATGGACTAATTTTAGAGAGGAAATTTATGTAACATCAAAGAACAAACAAAAACAGTACAATAATGACCATCGACCCACTCCCAATGTCCATTTAATCAGCAAATTTCATCTTGGAATTCAGCCATCCCATATAGTTGTCTAGTCTTTGGAACATCTTTTCTTGGGGCAACTCTTCAGTAGAATTTTTTTTCTAGTTCCAAGTTACTTGTAGAGACTCCTTAGATGTTCCTGCTAAAATCTTTTATAAAACAGATCTCAGTTCAAGTTAGTATAGCCTTTCAAATTTTACTTCTTCAATTCCTAGTTCATATTGTGAGGACCAGCTCAAACATTAGAGTTCTGATCTTAACAATAGAGCTACAAAGGGGAACATCAAAGTAGGAACCCAGAGTATGCATGGAACTTCAGAAAATTTGTTTTTTTTTTTACATGCCCCATTAGAATCATTTATATTTGACATACAGGATTATCTGATTTTGTTACTTTCTCAAAATTTTCCACTCTGATTCCAATTCCATTAGGAGGATCAGATGCTATTGGGGTTCTAATCCTGTATGTGAAAACATAAGTAACAACACTTTTGCAGGTAGAAGCTTTCCCCCCAGGTTTAATAGTTACACAAATGAATTTACTTATAAGAGGCTGACTTTACTCCAATTATAATAAAGGACTTGGGAGGATACTTAAATAATTCATTCCAAAACAATGTATATCAATAAGTTGTTTGTAATAAAACATATTTTACTATAGGACATGCAGTACAAACAGGTGTTATTTCCACATTAGTGATAAACTTGAATGAAATAGATTTTTCTGTTAATGTAACACAAAATATTCCATGAGTTACATCTCTCTAAGAAAACTGATTGTACTGAAATTCTATTCCCCAAACCAAACGGAAGATGTTTTTGATTTCCACCCCCACAAAATAATAAATTCCTATCTTTGTTTCATAAACATTTTAATCATTGCCTAATTGTTTCCATATTATTCAGAAAGGATGAGCTGTTTTAGGGACTTAATTTTTGATATGACTATGCAGGCAAGCAGATGATAAGCCCAAGTACTAATCTACCTAGTTGTTTGGGATATGGAGTAACTACATATTCAAAATGAAAACAGCAAGATCTCACATACTTGCATTGTGCTCGTATCTTCTACTGACCACTTATTATGATAATAGAAATTTTCTATAAAAGAAAAAAGCAGGAAATGATTATACCAGCATGAAACTGGTCCTTTAGGCTTAAGCCTAAGGGCACCTATATGACAGGATAAAGCAGCCATAGTTCTCTTTGATATCAGGTAAGAGTCACAGTATATCCACCAACTATGCATTAATAATTCCACCTCATTGCCAGACTCAGGAATAGTCAGGTGGGAAACATCCCTGTTCCAAGGAACACAATGGAGGAAATGAGCCAGGAGGATCCCATCTCAGCATAATACCAAGGTTGTCCTTTCAGCTTTTTCCCAGATGCAGACCTCTCCCTATAATAGTTCAGTATCACATTCCCTCTGAGTAGCTTGTGGCATTTCTCCCAAATGGTAGATTACTTACGTAATCATCCATCAGACAACTATACCTAAATTCAACCTCAAAATAAAATCAGTTACAGTCCCATGAGCTTTTACCTCAAATGGCAAGTTTCACTAATCACAGCTTAGGGCTAGATACAATTATTTTTACTCTGATGGAGCTGCAATAAACAATGAAAATGTACCAAGACTCACATACACAAAAGATTTCACATAGCATCTTTCACTTTTTTCCTTTTGTCTTAAATTTAAATTTGTCCTGTGTAACCAATCATTAGAAATCATTTCTATATTATACATAAACTTGCAAATTCTTAGCAAGCCAAGTTCATTGTTTAGTAACTCCATAACCCAAATACACTCTTTTCTCAGGGCTGATGACTTTGCCCACACAGATAATTTCCAGGGACCTGGCAAGTTTACAAAATAAGGGGAATTGATAGGGACCCCAGAGAAAGGGCTGATTCTGGTGCCTCTGCCTGCCCACCTCATGATATTTTTCCTCCAGACTGATGTAAAACACATACCCTCTGGGTGGCAAGTCACCCACTTGCCAGGGTGTCTTTCAGGGTTCCCATATGGCATTGTGCATTCTGCACTGGTATCTACCAGAGTGGAAATGGCTTGTTTATTTTTAGGACCCCAGTGTATAGTAACTGGTACATGGGGCCTCTGATCACCCCCCTATCAGAGGCAACCTTGACCTTCTTCCTAAGGGAGAGGAGTTGAGGGTATCCATCACATCTACCTTTAGAGATGTTGTTGTCTGTGCTCTTTGACACACACCCCCAAGGTGGAATACCATCACACTCTAAGGAGGACTGCTTTAAATGGACAGAACCAGTCTGAGTAAGGCTTTCACCTCATCCTCTCCTTTCCAGACACAGTAATCAATTACCAATTTTAGATTTAAACGTTCGACAATGACCCCAAATAACTTAGTTAATAATCTTACAATTTTCATAAATAGCCAAATAGTTGTAGCTTTAACTTCCTTTTAACTACAGACAAAGGTGGAAATACCCAGTTTCCTAAATGGCAGTTACAAAACACTGTAAAACAGGGTTTGCAGGGCTGATAAAATAACATAACTAGTTTTAAACAATTTTTTCACCATCTTTTAATTTCTTTCAGTTCATACTCTAATAACATCCAAGTTGCAAAAAGTTGCTTGATATAACTGATGCAAAAGTTTACCAATTTGAAACAATATTATGTATTTGAAACTTGAAACAAACCCATTACCAATCAAGTGACTCTAATTCTGTTAAATGCATTTCCAAATTACCTTACATAGAAAATCAGGCATCTCATCACCATTGGTATTGTATGCTGGTCACATCTAATTAAGGAACTAGTAATAATAATTAACATTTGTAGTATCTGCCCTCTGCCAGGCATTGTGTTAGTCACTTTACTCTCATGTGAAATAAACTGAGATAACTTGCTTAAGGTCACCCGGTTAACAAATTTCAGATCTATGTGTTTTCCCAATTTGTCTTAGTGCCAGATGGTATAATAAATTCTGACTTATGTGACCAGAATGAATTCAGTTACCTGGATCTGTGTTCCAAAAGGTATTACACAGAAACTTGGGATATAATTTTAATGTTAGTTGCAATATTATATTTTACACAAGTGCTACTTATCCCAGTCATTTCATATTATGGGGTCCACCATTTCCAGCTAATCCACTGCCAAAGATTGTAAAAGTGGCAATATGATATTACCATTTAATCTATCCCAATTATCACACTTAAGAACATGTTTTAATTTAGTTCAAATCTCGGTTTCACAATCTTGGAAGGAACCCATGATTTTTCAACCTACAGCTCTCTCTTCTTATGAATATGAGTCACATATAATTTACAGTCAAATTTCCAATTTTAACACACACCCAATTTTAAAAAGTGATTTTAAAATTGACCAGAACTTAATTTTAGTTTGTAAGACCCTAAATTCTAGCTAGCTATTCCAGTCAGACTCCATTACCTTTTGGTTATGTCCCAATTCACACAAACCTTTCCCTTTTTTGTGAGCTAGGAAAGGGCTAAGTGCCAGTTCTGTTCCAAAGTGCAAGCCTTGAAACTTTTCACTGACACAGGCCTCAATCCCATCTCTATAATTAATGAAGCAACCTTCTCTTAGATCTGAGGGGAAAATGTTCCCCCCTTCCCTTTTTTCTTGTCTATCCTTTTGTACCCCAGAACTTGGCCATAGTTCAGGAATACAGAGGCAGAGAAATAATATTTTTTTTGAACTTTTAGGGGTTTAATGAACATGACACAGAAAGATTTGCCAGCACATGTCTTGTTTCTTTCAAATTCTGATCCTACTCAAATAATCTTCACTTCACTGACATATTTTCTATTTCTCTCCTTCTCTCTCTTCTGTTCACCCATCCAGGCTGCTGCAGTCAGCCAGGGATGGAGGGAGAGAAGAAAGAGACTCTCTCTCAATTGCATACCTTATCACTTTCCTGTCTATATGCTTAACTCCCTTCAACCTGGCTAGCCAGCAAACCAGTGTTTCCACATGTTTCTTCTAACTGGAATTCCTCCAGCAACTTTTCTGTTCTCAGCCTCTGAGTCTAGGAACTTGGTAGTGGCTTTGTTTTTTCAATGCTGTGAAGAAGGACTAACCTATGCCACTACTTTCTTCCCTTCTTTTCCCATCCTGATGAAACATAATTCCATCAGAATGGACTCTAGGCCTTTTGGCATGTTCAGGGCATCTCCATACTTACTCAATGGTCTAAATGTATCTAACACAGGGCCACCCCCCACATGAAGGTCATCCAGAGATTTCCACACCACCCCAGCTTATCCTCTACTCTGTTGGCATTCCTTGGGCATCTGATGACTATGCTATTTCTATGGTCTGGAATTCCCCTGGCTGGGGAACCCTGTACCTCCCCCATAACCATGGGATGTTCTCTTGATACTGAACAAAGAGGCCAAGTATCTCCAGATTGATTATAGGTAGTAGTTTAATCAATCATAATGAATACTTACAAAACAGGCACAATCTTCAATCTGGGGTGGCAGCCAGACAGTTCAATGGATCCTTGCAAAGAACCCCCAAACCCCCTCGGTAATTACGGAAAACAAAGGGAAAAGGAGCTAGAGACTGCTTCACTATTGATTGGTGGATATTTTTGGTTTTTTGCTTAGTAATGAGCTTGGGCATTAAGCCAATGTTATGCCCAAACATAACTTTATGTATTGATCATACACCAGTCACATATGGGTCACGATATTCTTGTTATGGCTTTCATAGGTCATTGTATCTTAAGTTATGACTCAGTGTCTAAATTATGATTCCTTATCTAAGCTATGATTTTTAACAGGTCACCGGGTTCTGACTTCTACCTTTCATAGAGTTTGTTTTTATGGCTTTTCCCCAATCAGGACCACACAGTGCCCTCTACCTACAGAAGCTCTACATGGCTTCTACCACAAAAACCTCATAGCAGAAATTGCCTGTGGAGATCATTTCTAGTTTCCTTTTGTCAATGTTGTCTGTGTGTTGATTCAGAAAATGCCTGCTGAGCCAAGAGGGTAGAGCAGGGCAGGACCCTGTCTAGGATGCCCCTGGCTGGCCAGGACCTGTGGATGATGCAGCAGAGAGTTAGTTGCTTGAAGCTGGGGGTCTGAGGAGACTCTGAGGCTTAGCTCTGACCCTCATTGTGTGCTCATGGGCAAGGCATGGCACCTCCTCAGCTTGGGGAAACAACTTGTCTTTTCGACCTCGATCAGTCATTCATCCATCAACAAGCGTTTTTTTAGTGAGCAGCTGCTGGGTATGTGCCCCATGGGATGAGGTGCTGAGAATATGAAGACAAGAATGAAACAGTGCCTGCCTTTAAGGGGCTTCTGTTCCACTGGGGGAAGACAAAGTGCACATCCTAGACAAGCCCAAGTCTACAGATGTGTGAAAATAAAGGTGAAGGAATTGTGTCCACCTGGTACCTCTGAGGCGAGGGGGATGGACACCTGTGTGACCAACACTCCTGGTAGTTTGGTCCAGGCAGCTGGCGAAGAGGTGGCCAGAGACAAAGATACACATACCAACACTATTCAGTGAGAAACAGCTACACCTCATAGACCCTGAACCTCCAAGCTCAGACAGGGACCAAGTCAGGTCTAAATGGTGCCCCCCACCTCATCCTGGGACCCCAGCACAGCATTAGGCAGGGAGTGAGCCATAACCAAAAATTCTGTGAGCTAGTAAGTCTTGCTTGGTTTCCATGAAATGCAGAAATCAGATTAGTCAATGGTGAGGGAATTTTAAACAAAAAATTGCAGGTCACATTTCCCATCTGTTTCCTCCCTGAAGCAGCTTCTGATCCCTCTATTGTCAGACTGTTGCCTGATTTTGAAGCATCTGCAGGAGACACTGCTTCCGGCTTGGAGTCAGAAGCTCAGGGTCCAATCCTGGTGCTACCAATTATAGCATGTAGGACCTCAGGCAGGTGTAGTGGACAGCAGGGGGGTCGAACCCAATAGAAATGGGGGCCACTCCTTTGCACCTAAGGATCCCTGCAGCTGAGGATTGACTTAGTTTTAAAATGTCATGTTATCTATGTTTAATATATTTTTATTTCTCTTGTTAAATATTTCCCAGTTATACTTTCATCTGGTTCAGGCTGCACTCCAGAGTGTTGCCAGCCACCTGGGCCCTGTGTTTGATGCCTCTGAGTAGTGGATGGTACATTGGCCACCATCTTGGATTGGCTATTTTAGGTCCTTCCTGAGCCTTCCATACTCATGCTAAACTTTTCCCTTAGCTCTGGTGCTTTGGTTTGTGTTTAATGCTTTGTATTTTGGTCAGAAGCCAGTCGTGGAGACGTTTTTTGGATATGATGAAGAAGCATCCTTAGAGTCTGACGGTTCTTCCATCTCCTATCAAACAGACAGAACAGACCAGACTCCCTGCACGCCAGATGATGATTTGGAGGAGGTAATAGCTCTTACTCCATTTTGAATTAGCTGGATTCATCTGGACTTTGTTTTCAGTCTTTGAGATTGTGACTCCCAATGTTTGAAAGTTATTGACATAACTAGCGGAAGGCTGATGCAGTGGAGAGAACCCAGAGCTTTGGAAGAGTTCTCTCTGGACTTAGCCCCTGATGAGCTGAGTGGTTCCAGGCAAATTCCTTCTTAGTTTCCAGTTTTGAAAAAAGGAAGAACTGGATAAGATAATCTCTGTGATCCCTTCCGTTGCTCATATTTCAGAATTTTGAGTAATGAGAGAAATAAGATATGACTGAATTGTATTATTGCTAACGTTTAATTTATTTATTTGAATATAATGCCTATTCATTTCTATCCCCTCACTATTAATTATTAGGGTAGATGAGGCATCTAGGATAGAGAGATGGGCCTGGAGTCAGGATGACCTGAGTTCAAATCCAGTCTCAGACATTTACTAGCTGTATGACCTTGGGCAAGGCATTTAACCTCTGTCTGCCTCAGTTCATTCCACTATAAAATGGGGATGATAACATCATCTATCCCCCAGAATTATTAGGAGGATTAAATGACATAATATTTCTAAAGCATTTAGCACAGGACCTGGCACATAGCAGGTGCTATATAAGTGTTTATGCCCTTCCTTCTTTCCCAACTAGGATAAAATGGTGAAAGACCTGGCCTCTGATATAAACATAGAATGTATCTCCATGCTTTGACCTCTGCCACCGGCATGTCCAATAGAACAGGACGGTCTTAGGAAGTGATGAAAAGGATGTGGTGGTAATCTCATGCTATCAAGCTTTAATCACCTCTTTGGTGTTCTCTGGGCCCAAGACCTTAGTGAGAACCCAACACAGAATCACAGGAAAATGTGCCCAGGCAGCACCTTCCATGACAAATTCTGCTAGGAAGAAGTCTGCTCTAATTCTCTTCTTTCTCCTGTCAAAAAAAACTAATTTCAACAGTTAGAGTAAATAGGGATTAACTCCAGGCTCATTAGCATAGTATTCTTACCAACTGACTAACCTTCATGGAAACAAAATGGAGCCCATTGAATACATCATCATTTTCAAAATTAAAAAATTTATTAATCAAATTGTCCATTGTTTTATGTTTTCTCAAACAAGGGAGAAATAACCAAACACTTATACTTTTAATCATCTCTCTCTGTCTCTCTGTCTCTCTCTCTATGTGTCTCTGTGTCTCTCTGTCTCTGTCTCTCTAGGGTATGGCCAAAGAAGAGACAGAGCTGAGATTCCGTCAGCTGACCATGGAATACCAGGCTTTGCAGCGTGCCTATGCCTTGTTGCAGGAACAAGTGGGAGGAACCTTGGATGCAGAGCGAGAAGTTAAGGTCTAAATGACTTAAATTTCATGAAGATAAAGCTCATGGCTCTAATGACTCCCATCCTCCCACCCTACCCTGACCCAGCACCTCTGGAGCATACTCTGTTGGCAGAAAAGTAGACATTGGGTTCATATGAAAAAAGAGTCTGAAGGACAGAGTGGGAAGAGACAGAGAGAAAGAAAGGGAGAGAGGCAGAGAGAAAGAGACAGAGAGAGGATAGAGAGGGAAGGAGAGAGATAGAGAGAGGGAAGAGAGGGAAGAAGGAAGGAAGGGGGGAGGAGGCAGGGAGGGAGAGAGTCTTTCAGCCAAATAGAGGAGTAGCAGCTACATAGGACTTGGCCTTTTCCTACAGAACATCCTTTTGTGCCCTTCAGTTATTTTTAATCTTTAGCAATGTTCCCCAAGGGGATTCATAAATAAATGCCTCTAAGGCTATCCATCAGGCTCTCCTGGGTGGGTGCTGTAGCAGCATCTGGGCTGCAGTGGTATAAGCTGTGGCCTTTCTAAGCAGCCATCTTGCCCTCCCTCCAAGGGCTCAGCTGATCAAAAAGAACCCCGAACCTACGTCTATGAACCTGACTGTTTAGAATATCCTGCAGAGCATCTTCAGGCCAACTTTTTCTTGAGTCCTACCTCTCAAAGTCTACTACTCATCAAATTCTTGGGAAGATACCATGGAACTTCCCCAACTCCACTGTTCCTAGGTTAGATAAAATAATCAGATTCTGGATAATATTTCCAAGAATTAACTTTTAAAATAATTATTTTTAAAAGTAGATAATTTGTTGGGAATAATCTTGATCAATCACCAAAGCAAGTGGCCTCGCATTGCTGAGTATTTGGCTTTTTAGGCCTCTCACTGTGCCACCTCCTCCAGCTCCAGTCCCATGCCCTGGCCAGTGCCTCCCTCCTGTTCTCTCTGGCCTATCATGTATGTATTTTGCTCACTCTTGGCCTTGCCATTTGCAGCATGGTCAGTGTGTTCAGTGATCTCTTCCCTCAGCTTTCTTCCCTGGGCAGGATTCCCAGTCACCTTCTGCCCAGCTCTCAGGAGCTCCCATGTCTGGCCCCTGTCTTGCAGTCCTCTGCCATGTCATCAATGGGTTGCTGGTAGCTCATTCCGCTCATCCCTCTGTGGTGAGCCATTCAGAGCGTCTCCCTTACTGCCATGTAGACTTGATAACAAATGTGCCCCAAGAATTTAATGATAGCTCTTTTAATAGCTCAGAAAACATTCTTAGGATAGTGCCACAACAAGGGGACTCTTGGATAAACGAAACAGCACTGGCTACTTGCCAATAGATTGTGCTCCAAAGAAGGTTGCCTTCTTCTATGTCCACCTCAATCAGTGTGATTGTTACTTTGCATTAAACGGAAGCATCACAGTCTTTTCACACCTGGAGGTGTAAATACAAGCTGTGCAAATTGCTACTGACTAAAGAAGATATTGTGGTTTTCGAATGGCCCAGCAGCTGCATTTATGATGTCCCACTCACTGCACCAAGCCTGCTTTTCACGATGCTGTGATAACTTGGTTTTGAGTAGAGAATGAGATGGTGTACTCGAATAAATTAGAATCCCAGAATCAGAGGGCATTTCCATGGTCCGACATCCCCAGGTGGTTTTTCTTGAAGATCCTCAGTAGGGGGAATCCACAGCTCCAAGCAATCTCTTTCACTTTTGGTCAGTTCTCATTGGGAGGAAGTTTCTCCTTACCTTCAGCCTCTTTATAATTTCCATCCATTTTTCCTACTTCTATTCTCTGCGACCTAAGTAGAATAGGGTTAATAGCTTTTGTAATCATCAGCCCTTCAAATGGGGGGGGGGGCACAGGCATCTTGACCAACCTGGACCTTTTTTTCTCCAGAGTAAACATCCCCTGAGGCCCTTAATTGTTCTTGAAGTCCTCTTTTAAAACTCTCCAGCTTATCGATGTTGTTTCTAAAATGTCACGCCCAGAACCAAATGCACTATCCTAGATGTTAACTGGCCAGGCCAAAGGACTGACATCTCCTTGGTTCTGGAAATGCCTCGTTTCTCAATGAAACCTAAGAGCACTTTGACTGCTGTCATAGTGTGGCCTCATATTGAGCCTGTTGGTCACTAAAATCGGTAAATTTCCTTTTTTTACAGAAGAGTTGGGTATAAAGTCATGCCTCCCCCATCTTGTACTTGCAAAGGTGATTTTGGGAACCTCAGTATAAAACATTATAAAGTGAATACGTACATAAAATGAACATTTTAGATGAAATTTCATTTTATGATATGTGATCCCACGATCAAGCCTGTCAAGCTATTATTGCATCCCAACTCTCTTGTTCAATATGTTAACTCTCCTTCCCAGCTTTGTGTCATCTGCAAATTGGATAAATGCATGATTAAGACCTTAGTTCAAGTTCATGAAAAGAAGTGTTGAATAATGCAGAGCCAAATGGCTCCCTGGACATTTACACCCAAGTTGGTATGGAACCATTAATGCCTACTTTTAGGGTCATTGCCCTCCACACATACTGAATTGATTTAAACATCCTACTTCTATTCCACATCTTTCCTTCTTTTCCATGAAAAAGCAACATGAGATGCTTTATTAACAAAAGCTTAGCTAAAACCCAGGTAAGCTCTTATCAATACCAGTACCCCAATCTGCAATCTTAGTAGCCCTGTCAAAGATGTCTCCTTTTTTTTTAAGGCAATTGGGGTTAAGTGACTTGCCAAGGGTCACACAGCTAGTTTATTTTTTTTTTTGATGAGGCTATCGGGATTAGGTGACTTGCCCAGGGTCACACAGCTAGTAAGTGACAAGTCTAAGGTCGGGATTTGAACTCAGGTACTCCTGACTCCAAGGCTGGAGCTCTATCCACTGCGCCACCTAGCTGCCCCTAAGATGTCTCCTTTTAATGATAAACTGGCATGACCTATTATTATTGATGGAACCATGAAGACACTTTGTCATCACTGCTCCCTTTTCCAGATATTCACTATCCATCCCTTTTATAATTATGTTCTAGGAATATATTAGGAATCAAAGTCAAGATCACGGGTATAGAATTTTTAGACTCCATTCTCTTTCCTTTTTTTGTGAAAATCCATGGTGAAAGTATAAAAGACAAGGACTAGAAAACTTCTAGGAAGTAGGAAAGATCATTTCTAAGGAGGACAGATCACCAGGAATTAACTTTTAGGATAGAACACAGACCATTGCTGCTTAGTTTTCAAACTAATTCATTCCTAAAACCGAAGTTATTTCTAGGCTCCTACCTTCTGTTCCTCTGCCCATGGGTGCACTCCAGTCCTGGGTATCTGCTTCTTACTTAGCCAGCAAGGAATATATCCTATGTTCTTTTTCCAGGACATGCCAATGGCAAAATGGACCTGCTAAAACCAATACACCACCCAGCTTGTCTCCCTGGCTCCCCTCCTGATAAACTCATTGATTCTAAGGCTTCAGTGTCCAATAACAGTTCAGTGGCCTTCCGGATCACAGACCAGTGGCAGGTGTTTCTGTCTCCATACTATTAGTTTTATTTCTCTGTTGATGTTAATGATCTGAAGATTATTGAACAGAACTCTCAGAGGGTGCATTTATCAAGAATCACTGTGTAATCTTAAATTTTATGAGTGATTTCCTGTTGAAGGAGGGCTTTAAAGGTAGCAACTGGTTCCACTAAGTCACATGCCTTAAAAAATCACCAAATGATAAACACAGTAGGATGTTGTATTTTTTTAAACATTGAGTTATTAGTCAATCAATAAACATTTATTAAGCACCTACTATATGCCAAACACTGTGCTAAGTGCTGGGGATACAAATACAAGTTTTTTTTAAATAAGTTCCTACCCTTAAAGAGATTACAATCTAATGAAGAAAGATAACCCAGAAAAGGAAGCTACAAGCATGGGCTATGATAGAGAAGTCCTAAAGCAGTGTCACTGTCGGGAAATGGGGAGAAGACTGTGCTGAGCCTCTTTATTAAATAAATGCTCTGGAGCTCATGACTTTGCCCTTAGTCAGAGGGGCAGAGAGTGCTGATAAGGTGTGAGTACCAGGCACATTCAGTCTTACAGGATAATGAGAGGATACAGTCATTTGTATGACTGAAGATTTATTCAGCTATACAATATCATTTGGGAAAGCCTGCCTGTTTCCTTCTCACTCCTTTATCAAGGAATTGATCAGCATGTGTGTGGATCCTTCTTGGAGAGATTTTATAGAGATGGGAAAGTGGGCAGATAGTCAACATAACTGTTGTCCCTTCAGTGACCTCCTCGGGGGTATTAATGTTAATTCATACGAGGTAAAGACTGGGAAGCTTTTTGTCACTAACATATCATGACAATTATGCACACACACATATGTATACACACATATAAATGTATACATACGTGTGTATCTCTCTCTCTCTCTCTCTCTCTCTCTGCATGGCAGTGCAAACTGCGGCTTCCACCCTGATGCCTCTGTACTCCCACTGCCTACCTTTGTACTGTCATACAGCAGTGCCAATAACACTGCCCAGGAGACACCCCCTGTGGGCACAAGGTTTCTCTGGGACTTGTGCATTCCATTGGAAGTTGGTGCTGCCACCTAAAGGACAACAAGAGAAGAGATTTTAAGGAAAGCTGCTCAAGCATGCTGGCTGCTCGTTATCAGCTGTTCATGGAGTGAATTTGAATCAATATAATTTGGAAAGTAGGGGTCAAAAAGTTTAGAGCAGGGATGACTTGGAGCAAAATTGTGACATTCACAGTGTTTATTTCCTCTCTCTAGCCCCCCTGAAATGTGGGCACTGCCCACATTGGGGGCATAGGTCCCCCCAGAGGATCCCACAACTTACCTTTTCCACCCCCACCCCCAAAGTTATATGAGCACTTAAGCTTCTCCTTCCTCATCAAAACCCCCACCCCCTCCATGCCAGGATATTAGTTGTTAGACAGGTAGTATGGTAGAGTGGATAGAGAGCTGTACTTGAACATAGGTAGACCTGGATTCAAATCCCACATCAGATAAATACTAGCTGACTGGTCATGGACAAGTCACTTTATCAGATCCTCAGTTTCCTCAGCTGTAAAATAAGGTTTATGATACTTTCAACTGCCTATTTTATAGAGTTATTATAAGGAAATTACTTTGAAATCCTTTAAGGCATTATACAAATGTAAGGTGGAGGTATCATTGTTCAAAGAAAGGCCATTGATCAAACCAATTAGCACTAAAATTGGAATGACCAACAGCCCTTAATTCTTTCAGGGGTGGTTAGCATGATGTGAATCAAAGTGAAATTTAGCAAAAGAGATCAAGGGAGCCATGACCACTGGCACTGTGCATGCTGATTTGGGCCCAGTGAGAGTTTGGGAAATGGATGCTGATCATGGGGGGACCCTGTCAGTTACTCTGATGGCAATTTCATGATTGTGTTTATGATTTAAAGAACTAATACAGTTTGGAATAAATTCTTTCTGACCCACAATTGACACCCAGGCACCCAGGCTGGCACAATAGCTACTCAATCTAGACTCCTTGATTAATGGTTGCTTTGACAAAGAATACGATGCAATTCACCAAATATTAAGCAGGTCACTTTTCTCAAAGCAAACCTGTAGCTCTGGAGCTCCATGGGCACTTTCAGAATGGTTAATGTTCAAATCTTGCTTCAACTGAAAACAAGCAGCTTGATTTTTTTCCAATAAAACAGGCCATTCTGATTGGAGACTGCACTCCTAAAGAAAAGAAAAAGAACTATATAACCCATTGAAAAAAATGGATTCTGGGCTGCTCTTGGGTTTTCTTCAGTCAGACTTGGAGAGCCAGCCTCTTTACAGCACTTTTGGCTCAGGATGTGAGAGGAAGTTTGATGTATCTCTTCTCCCATCCAACAGACTCGTGAGCAGCTTCAAGCAGAAGTACAGCGCTCCCAAGCACGAATAGATGACCTGGAGAAAGCCCTGGCTGAGCAAGGACAGGTAGGACAGAGCAGATGGGGCCACCCTGACAGAATGAGGATCGTGTCAAATGAACCTGTTTGAAATATGGGCCAGGGCACTTCCAAGTTCAACCAGGAGCACTTTGGCCGAGGAAGGATGCTTCTCAGCTCTGGAAAGGCACTCCCTTACCTGCTTACTCAGTAAGGCCTTCCTTTAATATGTGGGCTGGGTATCACCCAACTCAAAAATGGGCTGCCTTCCAAATGATGGTTTGTAGGGAGTGCTACATTACTTGGAACACATTGTCCCACAGAAACCATACTCACTGTGGTGGGTTCAGGCCCAGGGTAGCAGGGGAAAGTGTGACCAGGGACCCCTCAGGAGGAAGTGGGAGCAGTGTGCAGAATGACCCCAGTGAGGAAATCCCAGTCCCATCCAAGTGCAACAGGACAAGCAGCACTGACAGGAACCCACTAGGGGAACAGGCTTCTCTGGGATTTGTGGTCAGCACTTTAGAGATGGATGGATGCCAGAAACATATCTCCTCCACTTCAGCATTGGTAGAGCTACCCTGGTCTCTGCTCTCTCCACCTAGGACATGTTGGGTTCCTTCTCCAGGCCTCAGTTTCTTCCTCTTTAAATGAGGTAACTGATCTCAAAGGTCCTTCCCAGCTTCAACCTTCCCCAAAGTGAATTTCCAAAGCCATCCAATTCTGCTGCGGTTCTTCTTTGCTAATAGATACAGTACCTCTGATGTGAGCACGCTACGCTGCGTCATTCTTTGCCAGTGTCAAGTTGCTCCCATGACCAAGTTCCTATTCCCCTGCTAACAATCCACAGTTGTTCATGATGACTGAAATTCCACCTCTCTAGCCTGGCATTTACACAACCTATCTGCAGCCTCCCTTTATAGATTCATTTCTGTTCATGTGCTTGACATTCTAGCCCAACTACTTGCTATTTCTTGAACTCATCTTCAATCTCTTACCTCCATGCCTTTGTCTAGGGGTGTGTGCCTAAGCCCTATTTTGCCCTTCCTCTTCACTGTGACTCTTAGGACCCTTAGCTTCCTTTGTGATTTGGCTAAATTGTCACCTCCTGCAGAACATTTTCCCTCATCTCTCCTCCTGCCATTGATCACTTCGTAATAACTTACCAGTTAACACATTGAAACCCTCAGTAAAATGTAAGCTACTCAGAGAGGGGTCTATCTCACTTTTGTTGTGTCCACCATGCCCCACACAGTGGCTGGCACAGAGTAGGTGCTTAATAAATGCTTATGAATAGAATTGAATTCACGAGCTGTAGCCATGGAGCTGTCTTGGGTGCTGAAGATATATACTCCTCCTGAAGATGCCCAAGGGTAGGGTTCCACTTTTTACCTTATTCCTAATACTCTGAGGATTGCTCTGGCTGCAGGGCTCCATTCTGTGTCATCAGGGAGGGCTCAGAACCTGTTGTGTTGCCAGCATCAGTAAGGTTACTTTTTCCAGATTCTTTCCTTAGGACTTCTCTGAGGAGGTTCAGCTGCCACACCTCTGCCCACTTAACTCTGTGCACTCTGTCTATAGTTTATCCCCATTGTTCAACAGCTTGCTCCCCAAAGAGCTTCAGGCTTAGAGAAGCCCCTGTTGCTGCCCTTCTGGGTTCTTGATGGTAATGTTCCACGAGCCCCATCAAATCCATCCTGCTTCAAGGTTTCAAGAGCACTAGCATTTCATTGATTGAATGCTCCTCTTCCTCCCCCCACCCCCACCACCATGCAGCTCCTGACCTCTCCACACCACAGAAGACCACATCCATGAATTTCAGAGACCAACAAAGATCCTGCCTCTGGCAGTCATCCTTCTGTTAATGAGTGCCTGCCTTTGGCCAGGCTGGTGCTGGGTTGACAGAAACAGAACCCATCTCTGGGCAGAGATTGTTACCTCTCCAGATAGGCAGAGGCTGGGCTAGAGTCCAGTCAGCCTTCAAGAGTCCAAGTCCACTTCCCTGAAAGAATGGGCCACTCAAGGAGGTGATCAAGGGAGACTGACCCAAAGGCCACCTTCCTTTGAATCTTTGTTTCCAGTTCTAAACTTAGTTTTCTATCCATGTCAAAACAATTCTATTCATTTGAACATAGCCCAGGTCTATATCCTGTCTTGCTCAAGTTTTTCTCATGGCTTTTTAAATGTGGAAGAATGATGTCCACTAGGAGCTCTGTCCATTCTCTCAGCCACTTCTAAAGCCCATCATCAATTGCCGGCTGAGTGAGCAACTTACCTAGTGCCTTATAGGTGACAAGGAACTATTACATCCATTGTCTGATGGAGCTGGTGCTCACAGCTCATTGGGAGGTGGCCAGTGCAGAATTATCATCATCCCCATTTTACAGATGAAGAAACAGAGGTTCAATCAAGGTAAGACTTGTCCAAAGGTACCCAGATAATTATTGATAGAGTTGAGGTCAGAGGGTAAAGCTTTCGCCCCCTCCTGAATCTGGGGCCTTTCCAGTGGAACATAATAAATAAATAAATAAACAAATAAATAAGTAAATAATATATCAGGAAGGAATCCAGGCATCAAATCTACCCCAACCCCTGTCCACTAAAGAAGATGAAAGCAAGGCCCAAACACCCTCCCCTCAATCCCTGCCAGGTATGGAGGCAGCAAATAACAGAACCCATATTTAATCTGAGGAGGTTGGGGAGGAGCTCCAGCAGTTTGGGGAGCTCACCTCTCCTAAGCCTGGTTAGCTGTTCCACTTTGACACAGCGCTGACTGTTAGGAAGTTTGCCTTCTGCTCCTAGTTCTGCCTCTGGGGACCAGCAGAACAAAGCTAAATCTCTTTTCTATGTGAGATATCACTGGTCTATTTTTTTTTTTTTGCTTTTTGGTGAGGCAATGGGGGTTAAGTGACTTGCCCAGGGTCACAGAGATAGTAAGTGTCAAGTGTCTGAGGCCATGGTCTACCTATTTCCAAAGTCAACTTTTCTCCAGGCTGAACATCAACTAGAACCTTATTGGATCCGAACATGTCATGGACTTCAGGCCTTTTACCATCCTAACTGCTGTTCTCTGTACACTCTCCAGCCTATCGATGGGTTTCCTAATGTATGTGATTTCAGAAGTGGGCAGAGTGTAATCTCCTGAATCCTAAATTCTCAGTCTCTCTTCATACCATCTATGATGACATCAGGTCTCTTGGCTACCATCTTGTACTGTTAACTCATCTTGAGCATTCAGGACGCTGAAACCTTTGTCAAAGGCAATGCTGTCTAATTGGTCCTCCCTTCTGTTATACATAGATGGTGGTTTTAAGAAACAGAACTTAGTATATATGCTCATTAAATTTACTCTTATTTAATCCACGAAACAATTGTTCAATTCTGTCCAACGCTCTATCCAGTTGGGCTTTTTTTAGATCCTTACTCCGTCATCCAATGTTAGCTATGCTTGCCAGCTTTGGGTCATCTGAGAATTTATGTTTCCTCTGTTTTAAGGTGCAGCATCAAGCATAGATCTGGGGTTCTCCACAGGAGACCTCCTTCCAATTTCACGTTGAAGCATTACTGACTGTGCTTTGAGCCTGGCTATGCAGCTTGTTCCGAATTCACCTAAATGCACTGTCATTTAGCTTCTATGCCTCTGTCTTTTCCACAATGTAGCATGAGAAACCATGCTGCATACTTTGCTAAAATCCCAATTTAACAGTCTACTAACCCTGTCAAAAAAAAAAAAAAAAAAGGAACCTGAATGACTCTGACAACCAGAACCTTTTCTTGAGGAAACCACGTTGGCTCTTTGCAATTGCCACTTTATTCTCCATGTATATGTATCTACTAACTGTCCTTTAAATTTTATGTTCAAGAATTTTGACAGAAATCAGAATGAAGGCAATTCTAATTCCATTCTCCTCTCCTTTTGGAAAATGGTCAGAATTGAACTCTGGCCAGCAGCTTCTCCATTCTGCATGGGCTTTCCCATGTCCCTAATGGGGGCCAGGATTTTTTTACCTGGACATGAGGCTCACCTGCACCAAGTCACTTTAACTCAAGTGAGATGACTGATGTATGTCAAGGACATTGCTGCCTAATTAAGCACAATTCTCTTTTTCATTGCCATCAAGGGCTCCTTGTTATCTCTCTATATATCTTAGTAACAAGTCAGTTTCTTCCAGCCTGTAGGTCATTCTTCTTGGAAGGGAAAATAGAAGCAAAATAAGCCTGGAGCACCTTTTTCTTCACCTCATTGTTGGTCTTCATCACCCAAGCACAGCACCCCCCCGCAAAAAATGAGGCATGATTTGCCATTAGCTAGTTTGCTAGAATTTCTATAGCACTTTAAGGCTTGCAAAACACTTTACAAATATTATCTCATTTGATCCCCACTACAGCCCTGGGAGGTAGGTGCTAGTGTTATCTCCAGTTGACAGATGAGGAAAGTGAGGCAAACAGAGCTTAACTGACTTGCCTAGGGTCACATAGCTAGTAAGTGTCTGAAGTGGGACTGAGCTCAGGTCTTCCTGCCTCTAGGTCCAGCACTTTCTCCATTGTGGCACCACTAGGTTGGGATTAGAGGAGCCATCTTCTCTGGGTTACCCTGATCTCTTATTTGTCTCGATATTCCTCAGGCTTTCCCTGGAAGTTAGGCTCACCAGTCAGGAGTTTCCAGAGTTCTCACTGGAGAGTTTCCTTTTTGGAGAATCCCATGTGAAAACATCTTTGCCTTCTTTCTCAGTGTTCATTGGAAAGGCCACCTACATGTTAGGCAGCAGATCTATGGGCTCTTGGAGAATGCCTTCTCAGCTCAGTGGACACGGCACCACATCCAGTTTGCCAATTTCAGCTAGAGCCTCCATGCCAGTTTAGGACTAGCAAAGACCCATGCCTGTGACTTGGCTGCTGCAACATTGCCACCATGTGGCCACCAGCACAGGGACAAAGGGACAAAGATGCTTTAGGAGAGATTAAATGCCTGCAGATGATGCTCACGTATAAACCTGTGTGCCCAAGTCATTAGGTCACTAATTGAGCCTATAATTTCTGCACACTTTATAACAATTTACCAAAGAACACAATTTATTTACTTTCCAATGATCTCAAGTGAAATTCCTAAGAATGAGGTGAAATTTTGAAATGATCTCACAGATGTCACATCATATTGTTCATGGAAGAAGGACAAGGCCAAAGCACCTGGGGCAGTGGCCAGAGAATTTTTCAAAATGATATCTCACTAATTTGAGAAAAAATACATTTTTCCCAAATGTGCTTTAGGAGCTGCCCAAACATGCTTAATTACACAATTCTCCTCAAAATGGATCAGAAACAAAGTTGTTAGCATCTAAAGACAATCAGTCAATCGATTGATAAACATTTACTAAACACCTACTACGCTTCAGGCACTGAGTCAAGTGATGGGGTACAAAAAGAGGCAAAAAGGTAGTCCCTGTCCTCAGGGAGCTCCCTGTTTAATGGAGGAGACAACAAGTAGGCAAACAGATACCAGATAGGTGATCTACAGAATAAATAGTAAATAATTAACAGAGGGGGAAAAAAACCCAGCACCTTAAGAGGGGTTAGAGAAGCCTTCGCATAGAAGGGGGCTGTGCCCAGCAGGAGGTAGAAGGCACAAGTAATTAGATTTTATGTGCCGGGGATTTCATGTGACTCAGTTGGTCAATTGACCAAACCAAATGTTTTACCTTCTAGCCATTATCAGGAAGAGAAGAGTGTGTCAGTTAGACTAAGTTTGTGGGTGAAGGTCTTAGTGAAAGAAAGATGCCAATGTGTTTTTCAACACATTCTGCCCAAGTCAGTGATATACTGAATTCCTACACAATTCTGTGAGGAGCTCTGGGATCTGAAAAACACCCTTTTTTGTGACTTGCACTGATCAGAGTGAGCCATTCATCTCTTCCCTCCTTGACAGACTTGATATCTCAGGTATCTCCTGGAACATGCCCCAAGATCTATAACGGGCCCTTTCCAGAGCCCAATTCTAAGCCACATGGCCACTTACGTACACTCTGGGCTTCAATCTGTCACCTTGTTCCATGCCAGAGTTGTCAGGCAGTTTTATTTAAAAAGATCAAAGTTCCTGAGTGATACCTCCCTGGGCCAGGAGTTACTCATGGGGAGATGATGACTGTCAACCTTGGGTGTCTCTCTCTGACTGGGAGTTGTTATTTCTTCCATGGGAGCAAGCAGATATTTTACAAGCAAGGCAGATGTTAAATTGCTTCATTGCAGTTTTTATTTCCCTCCTGCAATGTGACTTGACCTTGATTTTGGCTTCCTTACCTGAAGCCATGTTTCTGTCTCACAATCAACTCTTGTTTTTAAGGACATGAAATGGATAGAAGAGAAGCAGGCTCTCTATCGCAGAAATCAAGAACTCATCGAAAAGGTACCGGGGACCTTCATTCACTCTGCCATCCATTCATCCATCCATCCATCCATCCATCCATCCATTCATTCATTCATCTAGCATTTACTAAATGCCTAAATGGGCTTTACCTTTTGGGCAAATTAGAAATGATGCCCAGGGCCCATGGGAAGGGGATATATGCCATTGTTGCACCATGGGACAGTGATTTTTCTGGAGAATTCATTCTAAAGCTGACCCATCTAGGATTCCTTTGGAGAGATAACATGATACACTGGGAAGAGTAGAAGAAATCAAAGGACCTGGTTTGAATCCTGACTCTGTCACTTACCAGTGGGTTACCTTGAGCAAGTCAGTCCTCTCTGGGCCTTAGTTTCCTTGTGCCTAAAATGAGGAAGTTATGCTAGATGACCTCTCAGGTTCCTTCCAGCTTTACCTCTGTGATCCCATGCCGTCAGTAGTCTCACCTTCCTCCCATCCCCATCTTGTGTCATCTGGTCTACATTACCGATGAACGATAATCTTTTTGTCTGCTCACCTCTCTCCTCAGCTCAACTTTAAGCCCCCTGAAGGCAGAACCTAACTCTCTTGTCCATAGGATCCTAGGCACCTAGGACTTAGACATCTCTGTTTATTAGGAACCAGCAGATAGCCTTGTTTACAATAGGTGCCCAGGAAATGTTGCTGATGGTAGTGATGACAACGATATGACATATCCACTTTCCAAATTCACTTGGACCTTTGGAGGGGAGAAGATCATGGAGACAGTGAATCCATCTATGTTTAGCCATTTTCAATTGTGTCTGACTCTTCTTGACCCCATTTGGGATTTTCTTGGCAAAGATACTAGAGCAGTTTGCCATTTCTTTTCCAGCTCATTTACAGATGAGGACACTGAGGCAGATAGGGTTAAGTGACTTTTCCAGGGTCACACAGCTAGTAAGTATCTGAGGCCAGATTTGAACTCAAGTCTTCCTGACTCTAAGCACTCTATCCACTGTGCCATCTAGCTGCCTTGGGTAAATCCATCTACTCTTCAACTTATTTGTTTAAAATTTGAATCCTTTCAGTGGGAAATCACATCTGGATCAAGAGGAAGAGAGAGGAGCTCAGTAACATGCTAGCTGCCATGAGGAAGGCTGCTGCCAAGAAAGATTAAGCTGGACCCTGCCAACCTTCCCAACTTACCCAATAAAGATTTGAAAAATAGAAAAAAATTTGAATCCTTTCCTAACAATAAGAGCTATCCCAAAGTAGAATGTGCTGCCTCAGGAGGTAGTGGACTTCCCCTCCTTGGAGATCTTCATCCAGATGTTGGACAATTACTTGTCAGGCATATTGTAGTGGGGATGCCTTTCATGTACAGGTTGGTCTCAAGGCTGCTGAGGTTTCTTCTAAGTCTCAAACTCCATGACTCTGTGAGTCACTCGTTGGCTGATTCTTGACAAAACAAAGCTTCAACACCTGGCAGACTCTTAGTCTTCCTTCCTAGAATATGTTTCAGACTTCACTAGTCTTTAATGCTAGTAGTGGTTTAAGCTATGGTATCCTTTGGCTGTGGGATGATGGGGTGACAGTAACAGGATTCCCATCAAGAGCATGCCTCACACAAGGCTGTCCCCTTAGCAGCTCAAAATATTTTCCTCTTATCAGTTGGAAAAGTTATACTTTGCAAATCTTCAATCTAAATAGAAAAAAGTGTTAGAAACGGTCTCTGAGAAAAATATGTAAAATTGGCTATTTATATTTACAAATTTAACTTTAAATGAGCACTTTGTAAATCTTGAATGAAATAAGGTGTAGCAAGTGCTTAGCAAACCTTAAAGCACTAGGTAAATGCCAGTAGTAGTAGTAGTAGTAGTAGTGGTAGTAGTAGTAGTAGTAGTAGTAGTAGTAGGTGGCTATATCAACATATATTCATGTAAGTAGAGCAGAGGGCTCTGCAGCCCCTGACAACTGGTGTTGAGCCAGAGAAAGCAGCCTTCCTAAGGTAAGGGGTCACACCCTTCTGCTCCTGAGTTTAAAGGCTGTTACTCTCCAATATCCTGGAAGCCCTAAACCCAAGAGACTCTGCAGGCCATCTGGATGTCTTTCTTCCTGTTCCAATGACTCTCCCAAGGGGTTCCAGCTTCAGCCTCACCTTGTCTTCTGGAGCTGGGAGAGATGGCACCAACATATTCCTTTTTGAGAATTTCATATTTTATGATGAAATTAACAGTTATCAGTAAACATGAAGGCTACAGCATACAAAGAACAAAAACAGATTACACATGAAACTGATCTGTAATGAAGAAGAATTTGGGTTTTTAATGTATATTCGATTTAACATGGTAGTAAAAGAAAAGAAAAAACAAGCTGGCTTCATGTCGCCTTCTGAAATTCACTTTCAAAAAGGTTAAATTGGTGCTCTAAAGGCAGTCTCACTCAATACTCAATAGCTCCCTCTTCCTCCACCCCAACAGAAGTCCATCATTGTTAGTCAACACTTCCATGAAACCCGCTGAGCTAAGCAGGTACTTGACAAAGAAAGTATGTTCATTCCCATGGCTTTTGGATTTTAGTTTTCCATTTTCCACAGTTCTGGTGGGGAATCTCTGGCTGTATTATTAGCAAGTTCTCCTCAGTCATGGTCCTTTGAGTGTACTCCAGATATGAAGTCAGACATGCCTGAAAATGATCCCTGAGTCCCATTGACATCAAAGAGACCATCTTCGTGACCATGGGGGACCCCTGGCACTCCGAAAAGTCTGCCCACTCTTGGGACTATCTTAATATGTTTCCAGGAAGCAGAACAGTCAAGCCTTCCAATTAACCTCAGATCTGCTACAATCACATAGAGTCAGATAGTCCTTTCTGAACTCTTGCTCAGAGCCATAACTAGGGTAGAGCAACAGGGACTATGCTCCAGGAGGATGAAATTTAGAGGATGTTAACAACCCTTGCAAGTCCTTGCAAGAAATAACAACTACTAGTATCTCATTGACAAGAATGAGTAGTTATAGGAATCAGCGGTGGCTGCTTGTCACCATCTCCCTCCCCTCATTTGCTTTTGGAAGCCCATTTCATATCTCTTGCCTGAAATGCGTTTTATGCTATTTATTTCATGCACATAAATCACTGGTGTGTCCTTATAAGTATCTTAATTTGAGCTCCTCCTTGATCTCACCCCCAAAGAACTGGCCACCAGATGGCGACTATATTTCACCACAGCAATTCTTGAGGACTGCCTATTTAAGTGTGGCTGTGGATGTGTGGGAGTGGGGAGGAGTGGGGAGGAGTGGGGGGGGGCAGGATCTGCATTGGCAAAGGACATAGCCCTACCGAGGAAAATGTGAATTTCTGATGTGCCATTCAAACAAGGTATTGCCATCCCTTGGGTGTGGCCTGAATAGAGCACTTCAGAAAAAAGTGCCAATTAGTTATATTAATTAACTACCTAAATCTAAATATTATCCACAAGTGAAGTAAATGATTAAGAATCACTACTCATTGAAGACAGACTTGCCTGGCAGGGGGCAAACCACGCCCAGTTTCCTTTGGTTGCTCAGACAATAGAATTTAAGAGGTGGATTGGGTATTAGTGATCTGCAGGGGTGCTTCCCGCAGTCAGGCCAAGAAGTCACTCAGGGTTATTAGATTGAGGACTGTGGACAGGTCCTTTTCATATTCTCGGTTAACTTCCTCCTACCCCTCCTCCTCAGATTCTTTCTCCTTCTCTTCTTACGCTTCAGTTCCCTTAACTTTGTGAAGATGGAGATAAACTTTTGTAGTTCTATAGAAAATAAAGTCACTGACTTAGATCCAGACAACGATTTATTCAGCAAGGCTTGTGGTTGCAGATATAAATTGAGTCCAAGGCTCTTAGTTAGCACGAGGACCCAGAGGCTCATGGTTCTTTGGCTTTTATACAACCTTTAGCTAGTACAAGAGGGGAACAGGAATGCATCAGCTAAGCTGTGATTACATGATGTCATATGCTGATTTCTCATGAGTGGGGCTTTTACAGAAAACATTTGACAGACACAGAACTCAAAGGCCAGTGAGAGGGAGTCACAAAATGGAGTCCCTTAGACCTAATTAGTCATCTCCATCATGCCCTTTCTATTTATGCTTCTCAGCTGGTTGCCTACTGACAGGGTCTCTATTACTCACCTCTATCCTTCTGTCTCTCACAGAAGGATGGGATTGGGAAGTCTGCTTTATTGCTTTACTGAAACAAAAAGCAGATTGTCTTAGGAACAGGTAGCTTAGGACCTCCCCTGGATAAACAGTGGGAGAATTTGCTATCTGGACTGTTGGTGGCTCTGATCCAAAGGGGTTGGGAAGCAATGACTCCAAAGTCATAAGGCATATCAAGTGCTTCACAATCTCTAGGGGGCTCTAGAAATGACAATGCCTATCATGCTCTGCCAATGCTGGGAGTCCCGAGTCAACCCTAGGAAGTCACTGGGTGGGCTGGCCTCTCTTCCTCTAGGAAGACTAGAGCTAACCTTTGATGTGCCTCAAAATGCAGGCCATGTGTGATCACCTGGTTACACTCTGTTCTCTTTTGTATTTTTTTTTGTGAGGCAATCAGGATTAAGTGACTTAGCCAGAGTCACACAACTAGTGAATATCATGTGTCTGAGGCTGGATTTGAACTCAGGTCCTCCTGACTCCAGGGCTGGTGCTCTCTCCACTGTACCATCCAGCTGCTCCTCTGTTTTCTCTTTTAGATAAAGCAAATGGAGACAGAAGAAGCACGACTAAAACATGATGTCCAGGATGTGAAAGATCAAAATGAACTCTTGGAATTCCGGATCTTGGAGCTGGAGGTAAGTGCCCAGCCCTAAGAGAAGCTGTCTGGGCTCCCAAGGCCACTAGGAGGGGCAGCATCCTCTTCAGGCCAAAGCTCCATGAAGACCAAGGTGGGGAAGGGGAAAGGGCTCTTCAGAGATCCAAACATGGATTCCCATGGCTGTCCCTGACTGGCAGGGCTGATGTTTCCTAGCCCTCATGCTCAGTCCTTTGCTGGCAGCTGATGACCTCCTGACAGTCAGTGCTAGACAAGACCCGTCTGCGATGGATGGTGGCAAAGAAGGGCGAGAAGGTGTCCGCTGCCATCCAGTCCCTATTTCAGGCAGAGCTCACTAAGAGTTTAGCCTGCCCCTTAAAACACTGAGGCATGCTGCTGTGTGAGGCACAATGGCTGATGGAGAGCAACTGCCTGAGAACCCCCAGGGTTCCCCGTTGCTTTCTGCACAAGCCGATTTTCATTAGGGATCTGCTGGGTGATGCCGAGCAGAATGGTGAGAACCTTTGCAGAATTCCCCTCTTCCTCTGTTTCATGTTCTGTGGCCTTCCTTCAGACTAATGTCACACCTGAATACCCATAGTCCCTGCGCATGGTGGGGCCAGTAGCAGAAATGCGCCACACCCAGAAGTCTGTCTTGTTTTTAATTTTAGGAGCGGGAAAGGAAATCCCCTGCTATCAACTTTCACCATACACCTTTTGTGGATGGGAAAAGCCCCCTGCAAGTTTACTGTGAGGCCGAAGGCGTCACGGTCAGTAGTGCCCCTTCCTTCCTGTGCTGCCTTCCCATGAGCCACCCTGACCCTCCCAACTCATTCTGGATGCTTTGATTTTTCTCTGGCTGCCCAGGATATCCTTGTGGCGGAGCTAATGAAGAAGCTGGACATTTTGGGGGATAACGCCGTAAGTGTATGTTCCTTTACTAACTTTGCATGCTTTGGCCCCTCAGGGGCCTTCTCTCCCTCTCTCCCTTCGTTTTGCCATCCCTGCCTCCATCCAAAACTCTCAGGGACTTGGAGCTCTGCTTCCATGACACCTCTGGCTCTTGTCCTTAGGTGCCCTGCTGGAGAGTGGCCTCTTAGGGCCCTTCCAGCTCTTATAGTCTAGGACTCATCAAGGAAGAAACATCTGTCCTCAGAATTCAGGTTGCCATTTTGTTTTGCATCTTCATCTTGGTTCTAGGGGAATTTTTTCTTCTTTTTCCCTGCACATGTTCTGTGAAATGAGCCAACTCATCCCACACCTGGCCCATTGTCCAAGGGCATTGGACTTTGGAGGCAAAGGGAATGAACACGGAGCTTTTTGTAGTGCTTTGAATGCATTTAGTTTTCCTCCCATTATTTTTGTCTAATTAAGATTTTGTTTGTTTTTAGATTCTGGATTTCCACGGCTGCTTTGTATCCCCCCTCCCAGGCCCTTTGCTTCTCAGGGGGCTCTGCAGCCGGCAGCAGAAATTCTCCACTATCCACCTCTCAATTACTCCTGGTAACGGAGAAGGAGGGGGGCAAAGAGCTTGGGTTAACAAGATACCCAGACCCTCCCCAGGTCTCCTTTTGGCTCACAGGAACTCAGCCTTCTTCCTAACTAGACTTCTCATGAGGCATATTCCCAGGTAGTCTCATGTGTGAATCTGAATTTCTTTCCTGCCTGCTCCTGTCTAGCCCATAACAGGGAGGTCAAGGGCAGGACCTAAACATGGACCACATGATGGAGGAAGAGAAATGAGGGCCTTTGGTCAGCCTTCAGTGAGAAACCAACCCTGGAGTAATTGAGAGCTGGCTGTATTGCCCACGCCCTAAGCACTAAACGATGCCCACAGATCAGTGGTCCTGCCCTCGACGACCTCCCACTATGGAGATCTCAGGGGAAGAGCCACACGGGCAGTCTGGAACCAATCACTGCAGGCAGGGAGGGAACTGGGTGTGACAGAGGAGTGGGGCGAGGCAGACAGCCGGCTTCAGAGAACTCTTGGGGTTTTTCTAAAGGTGTCGTACTTTATCTCTGGCTCCCACACAACGCTCCTGGTTCTGAGGGATGGGCCACTTGGGTTGACAGAGCCAAGTTAAACATGCCTCTTGGAGGAAAGTGCCCCTGAATCAGGGCATTACAGAGCCTGGACATTGACTGAGAAATGGGAAGGCGCACATGCTCAGAGAGAGACCTAGAGCTCTGAGTTGTGCAAAAGTAGCTTGCCTCCCCGCCTCAGCCCCCTCAGCTCCCTGAGACCTCCCAACTAGCGCCAGCCAGAAGGGTGCCAGGTTTGATTTGTCCAAAAAGCTGGACAGACTGAACACTGATGACCACTCAGCAGATGTGGCCTAGTGTTGGGGGTTCACCCTGCTGTGTCTCTGGCTTCTGCTTGTTGGTATCCCAGCACCAGAATCAAGCTTAGAGCTGGAGGAGCCCATCGAGACTGTCAAATCCAACGCCCTTATTTATAATGAGCGAACTGAGGCACAGAGGGCGGAAGTGTTTGATCCAAAATCCCATGTCTGGTTTGTGGCTGGAACTCAGGTTTTCTGCCTCCTGGGCTTGTGGTCACCTACTTCCTCCAAATGTGTGTTCCATGATTGCGTCACAAACATTCACTAAGCCCAGCCAAAGCTGTGTTGCACAGAACGTCAATATGTGTGAGATCAGGGCTTCTTTTTCCTCCCTTGGAGCAGAAACCCATTTGCTCCAACTATGTCTGAGGTAACCAAAGTTCAGTCTTAAAGGGTCCCCCTGGTGATATAGTACTACCAAGGATGACCAGGGAGAGCCAGTCTCCAAGTTGGATACTATGGATGGTGTGCCATCCATTGCTTCCACATTCTGATCTATATTCAGAGACATAAAATCTTTGAGCGCCAAAGGTCTGGGAGGTAAACCATGAAGGGAAGCTTTTTCCCACCTCTGGGTATAAGCCCATTTGGGGCATGCTGACTTCATATGAATTGACCATGATCTTGTCGTAATCCAGGCTGTTGTGTCTCCTTCTAAAGCATGGGACATGAGCAGGGCTAAACTGTAAGATTGGCCATCTGAGGACTGGTATTCCATAACCAGAATCTGATGGCTCATTTCTTGTCAAGAGCACTAGTGGCTACAAATCCTCCATGCTGGTCCTGGATGATGTTTGTGTTTAAATTGATGATAGGGAAATTTAAAGGGGGAAAAAACCCTGTTATATCTCTGCCTACCTCGGATAGCCAAGTGGAATTGTGGCTGTTGGGTTAGACTGAGAAGGGGAGAGGATGCAGGGGGTGTGAAGGAGAGAGCAGAGCAGAGACTGCTCCAGTAAATTGGAACAGCCGTCGTCTGGTTCCCAAGTGAGCCAAGACAGCAGGATAGAGATGCTGCTTGCTGAGACTCACCACCAAGGAGAAGGAGGTGGCTACAGCAGTGTGGAGATTGATTGGGTGCCTGTAGGTATGTGTTAACATGGAAGGGTTTCAGACAACAGCCCCCAGTCATTTCTATTCATTCATTCACCCACCATTCATTCATTCATTTATCCATTTAGTGAGCATGTACTGGGAGTCTACTAGGGGCTAGGAGCTGAGGAAGGCAGAAAGATAAGTGAGCACCTGGTCTCTGCCCTTGCAGACTACTAGGGGAGAGAGAAAGGGAGATAAGACACACAGAGAAATAAATGTGGAAAGTGTGGAGTGAAACCTGTTAAGATAACTTCCCAAGGGGGAGGGAGAAGAGGGGACAGTGAGACAGCAGCATTTCAGATGGGCCCAATGGAGGAGTAGAAGAGTCGGCAGGTAAGTTATCCATACCCCCTCCCACCCGGCTCAGTTAGCTTTACCTTGCCAGTTTCTCAGTGGAAGCACGTGACCGAGGCCTATTTGGCTCACTCTCCCCCAAGGAAGGCGGGCAGATGACTGCACATATGTTCACCTGAAGCCAGAGTGCTCAGATTGTCTTGTCCCAGGCCTGGCCCCCTGACAGCCTTCCATGCCTCCACTGAGATGATTATGGTCACTCGGTTTCACACTTTTCGCATTTATTTAGGTTATCATTATTTGTGTAAGTTCCTTGTCTTCCCCCTACCAGTTGGCAAGTTCTTTGAAAACGGGGACCAAATGTCTCTTCTGTGTTTCTCTTGCCCATGTCTCCCCCGTCTCCTAGCATATCATTGAATGAATGAATGAATGAGTGAATGAATGAATGAACAAATAGACAAACTGGAGTCTGTTTTAAACTTTTCCAACTGGCCACGTTAACTCATATCCAAAGGCAACTGGCCAAGCCTTATGTTGTACCCCTCTTCTTCCCCAGTGTCAAGGCTCAGATTCCAGCAGGCTCTGTGTCTTTCCTGTTTCTCTTGGCCCATTTGGGAGCCAGAGAAGTCCAGTCACACAGTAGTAATGCCCTCTGGGAGGGCCTGACATCACAGGACAGCTCTTCATTCCCAAATCCAGTGGTGTTCTCTCAGTCCTCACCCATGTTGACTTCTTGGCAGCCTTTGATTCTGCTAGCCGCTTTCTCAAAGCTTTGTCCTCCATGGCTTTTCTCTGGACTCTGCTTCTACCTGCCTGCCTGTCCCTTCCCGGTTCCTTTTTCTGGATCATCATACATCTCCTGATCCCTAACCATCAGTTTTCTCCAAGCCTGTTTCCTCCATGCTCTTCTCTTTATATATTTCCTCTCTTGGTGATTCCATGAACTCATGTGGGTTGAATTATCACCTCTACATAAACGGCTCCCAAATCCGTATGTGCAGACATAACCTTTCTCCTTCATGCTTAACTTGAAGACATTGGTGCTGGGTTCAGTTCTCACATCTTCCACTTACTATCTGTGTGACCTTGGGTAAATCATTTAAATTGTCTTGTCCTCAGTTTCTTCATCTGTAATGTGGGGGCATTGGACCAGTTAGTCTCCAATCTCTGCACTTGAACATCCCACCAGGACTTCAACCTTAACGTGGCCAAAATGAAACACCATTTTCTTCCCCTGATCCCATTCTTTTTCAAGGCTTCCCATTTCTCTTGAGGGCATCATTATCTTTCCAGGGCCCAGATTCTCCAACTCAAAGTCATCTCTTCCTTCTCTCTCATTCCCCACATCCGCTCAGCTTCCAAGTCTTGCCAATTCTATTTCTGCAACATTTCTTGCTCTTGCTTAAGAACTCTCTTCTGGGTTACTGTAACAGCATCCTAATTGGTATCACCATTACCAGTCTCTCCTTGCCCCAAAATAACCTTCCCCACCTGCCAAAGTAACCTTCCTAAAGCCCAAGTCTTATGTCACTCCGCTGCTCAAAGACCATCGGTGGCTCCTTATTGCCTCTAGAAAAAGCAATGCAAAGTATTTCATGTAGGGGTTAAAGCCCACAACCTGGTTCCTTCATACATTTCCAGATTTATTTCCTCTTATTCCCATTCCACAATCTATATTCAGCCAAACTGAACAACTAGCTTTGCCCTGAACTTGGCATCTTACCATTTGTATCTGACCCTGGGCAGCCTCAGCCTCCATGCGTTGCCTGGGATGTGCTCTGTCCTTAGCCATGTTTCTCCGAATCCTTGGCTTTCTTCAAGGCTGAGCTCAGGAACCCAGCACCTCCTCTTGGAAGCCGTCAATGATCTGTGGTCCTTCCAGTCATCAGGGCTCCCTCCTCAAATTCTGTTTGCACATTTAATTGCACCTCCTTGCCCCTGCTTCCACCAGGGGGATCTTGGCTTTTAGAACCCAGGGCCCCGTTTTCACTCTTCTCTTTCCCAGGACTAGTGCAGTGCTTCTCACGTTAACAGAAGCAGCAGCGACAGTAACAACAACAGCAAAACGTAACTGCTTTTGACAGTATGGGGAACTCTCAGTGTGGACACTCCATCTACCGATGCAGATTAGCAACTTTCCTAGCTCAACACCTTCCCATTAGAATGGCAGCTCCCAGAGGGTTGGGATGGGTTTGTGTCTTTCTTTTCATCCCCTTCCCTCTCAGCAGTATTCCTCTCCCTAAATGCCTGCATAGTACTCTCTGCCTAAGAGGGAGGAGTCTCCTATGTGTACGCATGGGCCATAGGAGTTTGAGTACCCAGTTCTGTGCCTCGCTGTATTTATGAAGGAAACGTTGATCAACAATTAGAAGCCTCAATCAGACATCAGATCCCAGCTCCCAGACCCAAGGTTATCCCCACGGATGTGCATGGACGTTGGCTGGGAAGCATGGTAGAATTCCCCAAGTTCAGACGGTGTGTGGCCCGTGCTCCCCTCTGGAGCCTTTGTCGAAGGCTCAGTTCCCCAGTGTAACCAAATTAAGATGCTAATGCCATTGTCAAGACCTGAAGGCAGTGACTGGGAGTCAGGGATGGAGGTCTCCATCACTCCTGCCAGGGCCATAAATAAAACATATTGGCTGGAGAATGTGGGAAATGCCAGAGACTCCAACCATTTTCCAAGCATGAATATTATATTTATCATTCCTGGTTCCCGGGCACTGTTTTTAATAATTCGTAGGATGAATTTATACCACATTCACTTTAAACTAAAGTGTGCCCAGAGACATGGGTTTGGGCAGAATGCTCATCAGTGCAGTCTATAAGTGACTCCATGTGTAAAATGGTGTCCTGGGGGCCAGGTTTTCTCTACTCTAGCAGATACCATGAGATCAAGTCATTAATAAGTCAGAAGAAGCTATGGAGAGGTTTGAATGGGAAAATAATCGGATGATATATCTATGGACAAAATCCAAATGTGCCTTAGAAGTTTGAGGAGATGTGAACATGTCTAGAACTGAAGAAAAGTAAGGAGATATAAAGAGGAAACAGAGCTCTGCTATCTTGCTAAATGCTTCTCCAGAATGTGTGGCATCTGGGACAGTGGAGCACTAACGGTGTAACCCAGCACTAGGCAGAGCCACCTAGACTCACTGACTCTCTCTTCTGTTTTTGCCTATAGAATTTGACCAATGAAGAGCAAGTCATTGTCATCCAAGCAAGGACAGTACTGACCCTGGCTGAGAAGGTAATAGACATTTTAGCCTTTTTCTTGTACACAGTTAAGTATCCATAGTTGTACAGACCAGAAAGATGTGGTTCTTCTGAATTAGGAGATGGGGAGCATAGATGGAAACCCAGTAACTACACCCTGTCATGGAATAGTGTGTGAGATGACACTCATTCCTGCACAAATAGCATTCATAATAAAGTTTGTCCACGTCAGATCCATTTGGACTTTGGGATGCAAGATACACAAGTGTCCACATGTACTAAGCTTAGGTTTTAGAGAAGATAAGCAATGAATGCCACCTTGCCACAAAATTTGGTTTGACCTGTAAAATGGTAGCTTAGACTGTTCACTGAGAATGTACCCATACCACAGCCCTGTGGCATGGGACTCACAGCCCTCCCCTTGAGTACCTCACAGCTTCTTGAATCCTGCAGACCCACTCACACTTAGCTGCTTACCCATTGTCCACATATGGCCTGCCTGATGCTTGTGCCTGTGAGGGACAGAGGGTGAAACATTCTGGGAGAGTTTGGGTTAGAAAGATGACTGAAAATGCAATCCTTCTTCCTGTATTCATTCTCTTTGGAGAGCCTGGGGCCAAGAGACTCCCTTCCCCCCAACTAACACCCCTTCATGAGACCTTTTCCTTTTTTCCAGAGGAGAAAAACTAGAGATGGTTTGGTTGGGGAGTGGGTGGGGAGGAGGAAGGCTTCCAGTAATGCCAACCCACCTGAGCTACCCATCCCCCAAAGCCTGATCACCCAGGGGCACCTTGGAAGAATCTCACTGACATGTAGCATCACCTCTCTACCACAGGGGTAAGTGAGCAGCAGGCAGGCTCACAACTGGGCTCTGACAGTCTCTCTTCACCTGGGATTGTACTCAGGACTAGAGCTGGGGGAGAATTGGCTTTTCCCCCATCATAGGTTTGTGTGATGGGCTCCTTGCTACACAACTGTGGAGGACCCTGAGGGCTCTCTTTTCATTTCATTCTCTGCTCAGCCCTTTTGGGCTGTCTTCCTGGTGCCATTTTGGCTCATCTTGGACTGCACCTTGTGTTCCTTTGATCCCGATTAATTGGGACTTGACTACTTGTCATCTTTCATGTTCAGTGGCTCCAGCAGATAGAAGTGACTGAGTCTGCCCTACAGCAAAAGATGGTGGATCTGGAGAATGAGAAGGTAGGCAGAACCTCCAAGAGAAAGGAAAGCCACTTTCAAGGCTGTGGGGCTGGCCCACCCATAATCGAGTCATGCATGCCCTTCTCTCTGTCCTCAGGAGTTATTTGGCAAACAGAAGGGCTATCTGGATGAGGAACTGGACTACAGGAAACAAGCACTGGATCAGGCACACAAGGTAAAAGCCAAGTCCCCACAACGCACGGCCAGATTGAATTCCAAGGGCTTTAGGAAGCCTCGGCGGAGTTTACATCTCCAGCTCCCTCGTCATCCTGGGCACCTTCGGCAGCTACCAACATAATTGGCAGCTGAAAGCAAAATGAATGTCCCTAGGCTACACTGAGAGATATAGTGTCTAAGACTGGGGTACTGAGAGTCCCCTCGACTCATCCTGAGGAAGACACATTAGGAACAACGGTGGCAAGCTGGGGAACATTTTGGTCAATGTTGATTTAGGGTTAAATCGAGGTAGGCGACCAGGCAAGCTGGATGAGGGTGACTAGGCTAGTGAAGGATCCAAGATCTTGCCAAATGAAATTGGGGTGAAGAAGCTAGATATGCTAACCCTGGAGGAGAGAAGACTCGAGGAACACCATACTCTTTGTCTTCAAGTGTTTGAAAGGCTGTCATTTAGAAAAGTTTGGTTTGCCCCCAGGGAGGAAGAACCAGGAGTAATGGAAGGATGTCGTCAAGGAGCAAATTTAGGTTTGACGTCAGGAAAAACTTGCTAAGAGTTCGAGCTCCCTAAACATGGCAGGAGCTGCCTCAGGAAGCAGCTGAGTCCTCTCTCACTGATGTCTGTAAATATAAGCTGGACGTCCTCTTGTTAGATCTGTTGCATAGGGCCATTCTTTTCCAGGTATGGGTTAGACTAGAGAGTCATAGTGGTCCCTTTGAACGCTTAGCTTTTGTGACGTTATCTTAGCTTGCTGATACTCTTCCCAAAATGTAGCATCCACAGTGGAACAAAATAAGTACTTCAGCTGTGATATGGCCAGTGCAGAGACAGCAGGTCCCTCAGCCCTGTGCTTTAGACACAGGGGGTGACTCTCTGAGTGAAGCCAAAGTGCACATTAGTTTTCTAGGCTGCCATATCATACTGTTAACTCATGTTGGGCTCGTGGTCCACCAAAGTCTCCAGATGTTTTTCAGAAGGACTCTTATTTTGGCGTTTCCTCTATCTAGTACTTGTAAAGTTGACTTTTATAACACCAGTATAAGACTCTATATTTCTCACTAATGAATCTTGTCTTATTAGATCTAATCCAATGTTCTATCCCATTGGATCCTTTTTGGATCCTGATTCTGTCGTTCAATGTGTTAGCTTTGGGACATCCACATTTTGATAAGAATGACATGTCTTATCAATTAAAATAGCAAATAGCACAGAGACATACACAAATCCCCGAAGTACTATAATAAAGTCCCCACCCCCACTGCCTGGATTAGAACTTTTCATGGCTATCTGGAAGTTCCAACACATCCCAAACCACTTACCTATATACTTATACAACCCACATCTCTCCATTCTTTTCTACAAGAATAGTATGAGACACTGTCACATGCATTACTGAAATCTGGGTAAATTATATTTATAGCATCCCCTGGTCTTCCAGTCTAGTGACGCTGTCAAAAAAGGAAATGAGGTTAGTTTGCCATGACCTATATTAGATGTGGCACTGATGATTTGGGGTGATCACAGCTTCTCTTTTGAGATGACTACAAGCCTTCTCAATAATATTGTTTCCTATTATTCCTGAGAATAGAAGTTAAGCTGATCGGTCTATAGTTTGCAGATTTACTTCTCTTTCACAAAAAAATGGCAAAATACTTACCTGTCTTTACTATCTAGATGTCTCATTCTCTAATATCTTTTTTTTTATTTTAAAAGTGCTTTATTGACATCTTTTTTTTAACCTCAACTTCAAATTTATCTCCCCCCCACCCAGAGGGCCATTCATTGGCACAAAGAGTAAAGAAGAGTCAGAGAGAACAAAAACAGGTCAGAAACCCTAGGTAAACCAACTAAATGACATCACAGCAAATATCCCAGCCATGGCCCCTCACTTCTGCAAGGAAGAGAGAATGGAGTGCCTTTTCAAATCTCTTCCTTAAGGTCAAGCTTGATCATTATAATTACCCAACACTCAGGATTTTCTCTCTTTTCATCAGTCTGTTTACTTAAATTGTTATATCATTAAATACAGTTGTCTATTGACATCACTTTTCCTCAGTTTCTATGTCTCCCCATGCTTCTCCATATGCTTCATAGTCTTTGTTTTTTTTTTCTTATTTTTTTCCCCAAGGCAATCAGGGTTAAGTGACTTGCCCAGGGTCACACAGCTAGTGAGTAGCATGTGTCTGAGGCCAGATTTGAACTCAGGTCCTCCTGACTCCAAAGCTGGAGGTATATCCACTGCACCACCTAGCTGCTCCTTCATAGTCTTTGTTTCTTGCAATACTCTGTTACCTTCATGTTCCACACCTATCCCCAGCTGATGGGCTTCTATTTTGTTTCTATTTATTCTCTACTTGAAAAAGTGCTACATGAGATATTTTGGCATATAGAGGACCTTCCCTTCTGTGTTTGACTTCTTTAGGCTATATGCCTAGTGATGGGATCTCCAAAGGGTGTAGTCATTCTTTTGTTTTGTTTTGTTTTGTTTTGTTTTAACTCAAATCAGTTCATTTATTAGATTAATGGGAGTTAAGCTAACTGCAAAAAGATTTTCTCTGTACAACCTCTAAAAAGCATAATGTTGGTAATCAATCTTTAAATTTATTTTTCTTTGAAAATATAATTTGACTAAAATATGAGTCAAGGCACTAAGCAATTATGAAGACATATCTTCCCTATTACACCGGTTCATAATAAAATGCTAAAAACTAATGATGAATTACAGTGAATGGTATGCTTAGTACACCTTTGTGCCAAGACATTGTCTTGGAGTAAAGGATAGCTAAATTTTACATTAGTGTGAAATAAAATATCTAATTTAAATTTTAAAATATTTTGTAAAGTTTTGAATGAATTTCACAGTTGAACTTTTACAACAATTGACACAGAATCTTAACAGAACTATCATTTTCAATACCCCATCAACACGAAACAATTCCCCCAGTCCCAAACATAACATTTTAAAACAGAATCTAGAAAATAAAAGCCACATTGTATTTCTAAAGAAATGATAACTGTGTATGGGCAGATATTCACCAAATATAATAAACTATTTTAATGTAAAGCTGATAAATTTTTAAAATCTTACAGTTTGACAGAAAGTTAAGCCAGCCAATCATCTCTTAGGAGTATAGACATTCTAATCACTTTCTTAGCATAATTCCAAATAGCTTTCCAGTCTGGTTGGACTAATTCCTAGTTGCACAAACAGGGCATCCACATGCCTGTCTTTTCATAATGTTGCCGAGTCCCATAGTTCGTCATCTTTGCTATTTACTGGGTGGAAAGAGAGACCTTAGCATTTTTAAAGTTTGTATGCCTTTTATTATTATTATTGACCTGGAACAATCTCTCACATGGTTATTTTCAATTTGCAATCTTTTAAATAGTGTTTGTTCCTGTGAGTTCCTTGAGAGCAGGGACTGGTTTTTGTTTATTTGTTTGTCTTTCTCTGTATCTCCATTGTTTAAAATGGGGTGTGGCACGTTGTAGGCATTTAATAAATGTCAGTTGACTGACTGATTGACCTATCCATAGGAAGAAAGGCCTTTGAATGATCAACGGTAGCAGCTCAGCCGTCACTTGGGCCAGTACTCTTGGTCCTCTAGGAGACAGCTTACTCACTTGAATTCACTGAGGGCAGCAAGATGCCATGTGATTGTATTTTCACTTAACTTGAATTTGCATCCCATCCTATCCATTCTATTCTTACCAGACCAAAAAATATTCTCCTGGGAGAAGAAATAGAAGCAAAATACCAGTTAAAGAATTCAGATATTTCACCATTATTGACATGACTTCTCCCTTTTCTAAATCTTCCTCTAACATCACAACAATAATCCATTTGGGAATTTTTCCAGGAATTAGGCTAAGCTCATTGGCTAGGAGTTTGTAAACATCACCATTAAGATAGCACATATCTCAGGCACAACCAGAAAACCTCATTAGTACCCATTAGCTTGGGCTGAAGAACCTGAGATCTACCTAGTTCCCCAGAAAAATATGTTTACAGGGGATAGAGTCCATTCTCAGAGATTCAAACCTTATGTATACCCACCTTACATAAGCAGAACTAAACCTACTTTTCAAATGAGCAAGAATAGATGTTGATGTATATATGTATGTATATATGTATATATGTGTGTAACCAGGCTAGTGAAAGACCCAAGATATATACAAATGTGTTTATGTGTATTCATACCTACAGTACATATGTATATACATGTGTGTATATATGTGTGTAATCAGACTAGTGAAGGACATAAAATACACATATGTACATATGTGTATATGTTTATGCATACCTGCATGTATACATGTGTGTATTATGTGTGTGATTAACATATATATGCTATATGAGGGCTGTTATGGTTTATCCTTCATTCTTGAAGACGACCAATGACACCAGGAGGGTGATATCTTGACTTGCAAATGAATTAGATTTAAGTGAGGCAGGACTGTGCAAAGTCATCAGTCTCACTCTCTCCTCCAGAGTCATTGGAGTGGCAAGGTGTAGGTCAGGAGGACTGGAGATGGTCCCAGATGCAGTGGGAGACCTTGGCCTTTTCAAGCTAAGCTCTTTCCCAGGTCTCAGTTTGACTGAGTTGATGCCCATTCAGTGATTAAAGGCTAGCTAAGAATTGGGGCAAAAGATGGCCTATTTTGCCCTCACAAAAGAGTCAATCTGGGAAGGGAAGACCCTCAGAGTTTCTGGCCAGAACAGAAACAATTGTTGTTTCCATTCTATGGGAGGTTTGAAGTCCCACCAGATGAGAGCATGGGGGAGGGGTGTGGTTTGCACTAGGGAAGGGTACTCCTACTCAGATCCATTGACTGGTGTTATTTTTAAGGCTTACAAAGCAATTTACATCCATTACTCAAGTTCATTCAGTAAGCTCTGGCACTGTGCTAGGCACCAAGAATATAAAGACAGAAGACAAAGCTGAAACAGTCCCTGCCCTCAGGGAGCTTACAGTCTTCTGATTTTATAAAGGAGAAATCCTTTATAAAAGCCCTGTGAAGGAAACCTGTAAGTATTATTATTATTGCTGCTTCATTGATGAGCATTGGGATAGCTTTCCCAAAGTCCCATGGATTACTGGGTAGAAGAGCCAGGCCTCAAACCTTAGGGCCATAGATTGAGAGCTGGAAGAGGCCTTGAATGTCATCTAGCCCAGCACCAACCAAAGCCCAGAGAGGTGAGTGGCCTGTCTGTGGTCATAGTCAGTACCTGCAGAGCTGGGATGATTCACAACCAGCCCTTCTGAGTCCAAACCTAAAGCTCTTTCCGTAGCATCCCATCTTCCAGTTATTCTGGGGTGTAGGAGGTGTAAAGAGGAAGAGTGAGAGATAAAGCAAGCTGGAGACAATTCGAGATGCCCTTGAAAGCCACACAAAGGAGTAGACAAGAAAGGTGGTAGTTTATAGGGATAAGTGAGGATTTTTTCTCCCAGCATCAGTAGCAGAGTTGAATGGTGAACTTCCTTCTTTCTTAAATATTTCCCATAACAATAGTTAGATAAAAAGAGTTGGACTCAGATGGAATATATTAAAGAGCTGGCTTTGTTCTGGGCAAAGCCACCAGCTTCCTAATTCTGCCTCTTTTGTGTTTGATAAATCATGAGAAGCTCCCATGGACAGGAAATTATTAGAATGCATTTTTGCAAATGTAGTTAAAGAGTATTTTCCTTCCAGTCCCTGAAGCCTGTGGCCTGTAGGAAGCTTTCTTACTGTTTATATAACCAGAGCAGGGGGCACAGAAGGGAGAGCTGTGGGGGAAGCTCCAGATGCCAACCCTAAGATGGGAACAGGTTCACACATGGGAGATTGCAATGTCTCCAGGCAAGCTGGATTTTATAGCGATTTTGCCCAAGGAGAAAAACAACATTCATTGAAGAAAATGCTATATTTAAAAAGGTTCAAACAAGAAAAAAAAGTTCAAACTTTGTTCTGAATCTAATTGAAAACTTCTCAGGATATCAATCAATCATTGGGATCTTGACCCTCAGATAAAAGGAAGCACTCCCTGGATTTGTTCCGGTCCTGAGTTAACTGGCCAAAGCACCATTATGCATTATCATTAGGATGATGAAAAGACCATCCATCCATCCCTGGGCATTCACCAGCTTAGCAATGGCCTTCCTCAAAAGTAGCACCCAAATCTAAATAAAGCATAGTACTCCAGATGTAGTCTGCCCAGGGCAGAGGACAGTGGCACTGTGGCCCTCTCACTCCCCCCACCCCATCTCATTCTGGACACTCTGCCTTCCCCAATGCAGCCCAAAATCACATGAGCATTCCTGACTGCCTCCCCACACTGTTGGGTTACAGTGGACTTGTGGGCCACTTAAATCTCCAGATCTTTTTTCCCTTTCCAGATGAACTACTCCCAAGTCATTCCTTCCCCAGTTATGGTGGAGTGAACACTCCATGAACACTCAATATCACAAGTCTGAGTTGTGTGTCATGTGGAAAGAGTTCTAGCCCATTTATTGCTTCTCACATGTTGAGATATGTTCTTGGGAGCTCATGCAGGATGGCTAACAGTACCCATGGCTCAACCTTCTGGGCAGGGCTCATAATGGTCACCGTGACTTCTGCCAAAACTGGGGAGAAAACCTGACTATGCCCATTTCCACTCCACTCTTTTTCAGCAAATAAATACTTCCATGTGCTGACAATACGTGAGGAGCTGACCTTGGTGCTGCAAGGCCGGAGAGGTGCAGGATGCCCCTTTGGAAAGGTCAGAGGCCTGGAGGCACCAACAGTTCAGTAGCATATCCCCAGATTGTATGAAGACAGAAAGGCAGGAAAAACAAGGAACATTCTAAGAAAAAAGTCCCTATAAAATAAATAAACAAACAAACAGATGGATAAGATAGATAGATAAATAAATAAGAAAGTAAATAAATAAATAAATAAAAAGTCCCTATAGGCTAGGGTATCAGGGATGCTTTGCCAAGGAGGGGGGATATGATCTAGACCTTGAAGAGTAGGCAGAATTTGGCCTAACAGTATAAGGAGGGAGAGAGGCACAAGCAAAGCCATGATCAAAAGACTGGGCAGCATTCCCACAGAAGTGAGAGTTAGAAAGGACCTTTGACAGTATCTAATGTCCAATCCCCTGTAGCAACAGATGAGAAAACTAAGATCCAGAGAGGAAAAGACTTGACCAAGGTCAAACTGCTGCAAAGTGGCAGAGCCAAGACACAACCCCTGTCCTCTCTCCCAAGCTAGGCCTCTTCCCATGATGGGGAAATCACTTGTGAGTCACTGCTTAGAGTTGCCAAGCACCTTGCCTGCATATTTCCCAGTCAGCCTTTTACTGGAGGAATTTGTATTGATATTTTTCATATGGGCACGTCGCCCACCATTTCATCCTTGCACACTCACACCCTTCCCCTGTGCAGAGCAGCGCCTGAGTACACAGTGATAAACTCATGGGTGCTTGTTGAACTGAATCTTAGCAATGGGCACAGAGCAAGTCAGGGGAGAGCAGAGAGGGTTCACTTCTGATTTCTGTCCTCACACGCGTAGCCCAGGGCACCTTGGGATAAAGGAGATACTGGATTGGTGGCTGTTGATTGAATAAGCAATTGAGTAACAGTGATGGTGAAAATGAAATATTTCTGGTCAGGTTTTGTGGCAGCGCAAGTGAGCATCTGCTGCTTGTATTAGACCCTGTGCATTGGCCATGTTGCACAGCCCTGGGGCTACATGGCGGTCCTTTCACCATCATTCCAGTAATGCCATGAACATCCACATGGTAGGAGGGCAGGAGACCAGAAGACCACTTCTCTCAGAAGTGTTCAGCTTTGCCTTGGGCTGCTGACTTTATTTTTCCTCCTAAGAAGGAGAGGGTTAAATGAATCCTATTGAATGGGTTGTCTGGTCTGCAGCATTTAGATCAGGTGCAACTTGAGGCACAAGGAAGAGCCCTAGTCCTGGAGTCTGGACCCAGGTGCAAGTCCCATCTCTGCAGGTTACTTCCTCTATCTGGCACTGAGCAGGCAGCCCCCTCTCTGGACCCCATTTTCCTTCTCTGTAATGTTGAACTAGATGACCTTCAAGGCCTCTGCTCTATCTAACTCAAAGCCCCTTGGACTGTGTGGGAGAGAGGCAAAGCTGGGATCCAGAAATCTGTTCTTGACTCCCTACCTCCAGGTTGTGGGTGTTTTAGGATGATGGGATCTGGTGACCTTGGGCAAATCCTTTCTCTGGAGGTTGTTTTTGGTGCTTCTTCTATCCCGGGAAAGGGATGACCTTGGCAGAGCCATAAGGAGGACTCTTTGTCCCAGAACAAGTGGCATGAAACTCTCCTCACTTGAGTTGGGAAGGGAAGGGGGTCCTGAGATCTCTAAGCAAGGATGCTTCTAGGAGGTGGCTGCAGGCAAAACTCTGCCCATTCTCTGCTCCCATTTAAAGTCCTGCCAACGCCACCAGCACCCTCTAATCTGGGGCCCTGAGGAAAGCCCTGGTCAGCCACCTTCATTTGGGTTCTGGGACCATACAATTCCAAATGTCCCTTTAGACTCTAAGTACTGAGATTTCACTTCTATTAATATATTCATTTTAATTGATCTTTTTGTGCAACATATTCATCCACAATTCCCAAGCCTTGGGGATTTATCTACCTAATATCCTTCCATGGAATGGAAGTAAATAGATTACTGATGGTCAGAAGGAGGGAAAGAGCTTGGGGATGGGAGAGAGCAAGCCTAGTGGGACCCTCCAGTGGGAAGGGATGCTGAGCAGATGGGGATACAGTAAGAACACAGAGTACCTTGGAATTGGGGTGTCTGTAGGGGTAAAAGGGATAAAGAAAATTGGAAGGACATTGAAGTCTGACAAGGTCACTACCCTCCTACAAAGCCTTTAGGGGCTCTCTTTTGCCTCTCAGAGAAAATATAAATGTCTCATCTTGGCCTTTAGGCTCCACCACTTGGTTTGGCTCTGCACTCTTAAAACTGCCATCTGTGCCTACTGGGTGTCTGAGAATCCTTGCCACCCTGAGAGGGAACCTGGTAACAACATCTGTACACCTTCTGATCCCTAGCAAATCCTAGAGCTGGAGGCCATGCTCTACGATGCCCTGCAGCAGGAAGCTGGGGCCAAGATGGCAGAGATCTTGTCAGAGGACGAGAGGGAGAAGCTAAAGGTGGCAGTGGAGCACTGGAAACGGCAGGTCATGAGTGAGCTGCGTGAGCGGGATGCTCAGATCCTAAGGGAGCGCATGGAGCTGATTCAGCATGCCCAGCAGGTACACACCAAAGGGTACCTGGGAAGCAATGTACATGAAGAGTTGCCTGGGGGGGGTGGGGGTAGGCATGAGGAGCCTGGGGCCATGGCCCTGATAGGTATGCATTGAGAGATATCCAATGTAGTCTCTGGGAGCCTAGAGCCATGACCATAGCAGATGCGCATGGAGGGACATTCAGGTAACCCAGCTCTCCAGGGCCATGCCCACACCTCCTGAATCTTCCTGGGATCACTCTCTGATTCCTCCCCACTGCCAGGCTCTGTGACTCATCCAAGCTTTCCCTGGTTATGTCCAGAGCTAGATTGTGGGAATGACATTGCAGTCTGGCTCTCCAAGGCTACCCTTGCTAACACCACAGATCCGACGTCCAACATTCTAGGCCTTCTCTAATTTGTTGCTGCTTTTGCCAGCCTCTGGAAGACTCTGTGAACAGTGTTTCATGATGGTCTTTTCCACTGACGGCTTTGCACACGAGCTTGTGAGCATGCACACATATGCACACGCTGACTGTCTTTTCTCATCAAGCACACATCTCAATGGCCTCTGTTTTTGCACACATCACCACAGCCACTTTTTCCTTTGGCTTCCATGAACTTGGTGACTTTCATGGGTTTTTTTCCCTGATTTTCCACTTTGCAGAGGATAAAAGAGCTAGAAGAGAGAATTGAAGCCCAAAAAAGACAAATTAAGGAACTGGAGGAAAAGGTAAGAAAGTCCTGGTGCCTTTAGGGGCATCTGGGTGGGTCTGGCTCATAGAGCAAGCGAGGCCCTGCTGGCAGGAGGGTCCTGTGGCCATGAGCTGACTCTCAGAGCATTTGTGAAAATTAGGAAGGTCATTACTCATTGAAGCAGGATCATCTCAGAGAGAGGCAGTGTGGCATAGTGGATAGGAAACTGGCCTGGGGGTCAGGAAGTCCTAATTCAATACCTGCCCATGCTACCTATTGTGACTCTGGACAAGTGGCCTTATCTCTTGAAGACCCATCTCCATGAATGAGTTGCAGGGCAGACACTGACTTGCCCTAGCAGAAAGAAATTCTTCATTGGGAAATCCCTGTACTCGTGAAACCCAGCAGCCCCCAATTTCACTTATAGGCCTTTCACCCAATGTTGCAGTGTGGGGCCAAATAGGAGATGCTCAGAGGGTCCAGTGGGAGGAGATCTTTGTCTATTGTCACTGGCCCCTGAGCCTCAGCTACCTTTTCTCCATGTCACATGCATGCTTCCTGGGCCCCAGTCATCTCTAGCACATCTTTGCATGATGTGGGGATGATGCCAAAACTTACCCAGAAGGTTCACTCCCTTTCTTGTCATTGCCCAGGATTCATCACAAGTGACAACTCTTTGGGGTTTCCATGTGGTGGATTTGGTCTATTTTTTTAGAGTCACATCAACCCCATGAGATAGGTAGGTAGGGTATAGACCCATTTTACAGAGGAGAAAACTGAGGCTCAGAGAGGCTCAGGGCAACACATCTGTTAAGCAGAAGAGACAAAATGGCTTAGTTTCCCAGCTTACCTGACAAAGTCCTAATGAAGAGACTTCTCTGGAATCAGAAAATATGCGTTCAAATCCAATTCAGATGCTTCCTATCTATATAACTTTGGGCCTTGATCTACCCCGGCTCTTATTTCCTTAGCTGTGTTGTGAGTGAAAAGCCTGAGAGTCAAAGTTTCTGGGTAATTAATAGTCAATTTATTCATTAGCCTAGCTAATAATCAATAAATTGGTGGTCAGTGGTTTCTCTCAGTATCCAAAGACACCTAATGAAGACACTGAATGCCTGAAATGGTTTTTTGAAAGAGAATGCCCCTGACAGGAGAAATCAGCCCTGATTGGACATATTAATGAGGAGGTGAACTAAAAGTCTTTAGCTTCTTCTGCTGAGAATGAGGCTTGATGTTGAGACTCAGCCACCTCCAGCACTCTGGACAGAGGAATCCATCTCCACCCAGACCAGTCTGCTTGGTTTTCTCCTCCATGAGCTGGGTCACCCTAAACTCCAGTGGAGGGCTATAAGAACGTGGGCTTACTCCCTAAGGGAAAGAATTCACTAGATTAGATTCTGTTTATGCTCTACACAGAAGTAAGGTCTTCTACCCAAGATCAAGGAGCATGTTCCCCAGGATGAAGACAATCTCATCTATCAGCCGTGTCCTTCAGAGACTGGCTAACTGACCCACAGGGGCTGGTCCCTTCAATGTTTATTGTTAATATAATAGCCAAATAATTTCCCTCATCTCTAAAATGGGACTAGCTGGCCTCAGATACCTCTTTCAGCTCTGGGTCCTTGCCTCTCTGACCCTCTAAGCAGGGACCTGCTTCTAAGGGACCTCCTAGCTTGATTGCCCAGGCCCACTGAGGTGATGTTTGTGAACAAATGGCCTTTGTGGGCCTCTCTATCCACCACCCCCATGTACCCTACCTGGAAATTACTTGCCTCTCATGTGTTTCTTCTCTTTCTAAATGGCAGCTTGCCTTACTCTGACTGCAGTCATCAGCTCTTCCTCACCAGACACACTGTAAATTCTGTTTTCTCTCTCTTTTCTTCCATTTCCCCCTTTCTTTTCAGTTTTTATTTTTGTTTTTATTTTTCTCCTTAGCTTTCATCCTCTGGTCATAGTCTGCCTGAGTGCCCAGTCACAAGGGGTGAGTAGACTCTTCCGACCCAGCTTTTGTTGGACTCATTTGACCCCGTCACCATCTTCCTGATTTTTTGTTCTTCACTTATTTTTATTTGTACGTTTCAGTTTCCAAAAGAAGTCAGAAAACACATTTCTCTTCTCGGAACAGACGGCAATGGCTGCCAAGACAAAAACTCAAGACGTTAGGACAGCAATTTCTGACTCTGACTCCTGATTTTGTCCCTGGAGACAGAAGAGGATTTATTCTTGGTGACCTTCTCCTGGAGTGGCAGGGAGAGAGAGTGAGGGTGAATTCAAACCCGGTGGGATCTTCTTCAGTGCCCATTCCTTGGGTGACCGTCTGTTTTCCACGAGCCAGAAACCCAGGAAAAGCCTTCAGCTTAGCCTGGAGGATGGTGTCCTCAACCCAGTTCCAGGAAGAGGTCCCAGTCCCCTGCTGTGCAGGGAGTCTCTCTCTCTCTCTCTCTCTCTCTCTCTCTCTCTCTCTCTCTCTCTCT